GGAAATTAAAAATGGATTATATTAATGCATTGGGCATTTTTGCATCCCCATGTCATTTTAGCATTGATGCGATTGATTTTAATTATTGTTTTGGATAAAGGAAATTGTTTTGTAAAATAAGATCATATTGATTTGTTTTTTAGATAAATACGTTGGTAAGTCCGGATAAAGGATGTAGTTGGTATTGGTTAAGTTGGCCTGAGTGTCCATGGTGAAAGACCAAAAATACACGCGAAGGAAGTACTATGTGCCTTTACCGGTAAAGTGGGAATTAATAGTGCTTGTTATGCCTACTTGCAGATACTAACTTAGGGATTACCTGAGTCGTATTTACCGCCCCGTTACTACATTGAAATTATGGAATTGTTAATTCTCATGATTTCATTTTGCACAAAAGTTTCAAAAGGTAGAGATATATGTTTGTTTTGAACATGGCATAACATATGTATTCATCCGGTGAAATTGTATAAAATGTATATACTTTGTGAATATTTTTCCTATTGGGCTTTGTGCAGGAAAGGATATGGTGATCCTGCCAAGTTAAAGGTGTGGAGATATGTTTTGAGAGCATAAGGCTCTTTTCTTTGTTGTAATTATCTTTTACAAGCTAAGGGCTTTATATGTATGGGTTCAAAAACCATTTTTGTGTAACCGGACTTAAGCCTTGGAACTTCTAGCCCTTGAGGGCATTTATTTACACTTGATTTATTATGCCACATGCTATAGATTCATATACTAGGGATGCTGAATGTATAATCACATGTGGATTATCTTTTTGTAAATCTCCGAAATGTAATGAACTCGAGGTTTAGAGCTTTAATGATAATGTTAGTGGTGAGACTACATATATGCTTCATGTACATATATTGTAATGGAAGTCATTGAGTTAGAATTTGATCTTGAGGATAGGTAATTTGAATTCTTCTTGTGTTAATAATTCAGGGATGTTACACACCATCACGTTGTCATTACCTCCACCACCATCACATACTCATTACTCCATTACCAACGTCATTATCTTTACCATCACCATTGTCATCACTCTACCTCCTCCACCACCCTACCATTGAAACCATCATGCCAACACTACCGTTTATCACCACTACTATTTTATCATTACACAATCATCATGGTTGTGATGACCACCTTGTTAAGGAATCGAGGAGCCCACAAGTACACATCAACATTGGCCAAATTCATCAAGGAGAAACTCTAGAGTTCACAAATGCCATATCAAGACCCAACATACATTATTTGGAACTCATGCTCACTTAAAAGCTTAAGCCTATAAGTGGAGAGCCATCTAATATATATTAAGACCTATCTCATTTTACTCTTTATTTGATATGGAATTCTACCTTCACACATGCTCCAACAACTCTCATGTGTAAACCAAACATTGGGTCTTGCCTTACTCTCTCTCGAGTCTGGATCTATTATCACAACAGGTTCATCATAGATTATACACATTCTCCCATAATCTTGATATGTAACTCTCCAACATCAAGTCTTGCTTGCACCACCTGTACACACTCCATCGTGAGCCACTATACTCCATCGTGCGCCACTCGTATCTTGTCGTGGTCCAACCTTGCCACGTGCACTAGGAATTTCCTTTACTCCATCAAGAGTTGTCATGAATTTTTCTTACTTCATTGAGAGTCTCCATTCCAACCCAAGGCTAACAACATCAATGCTTCAAGAGAGCCTGCCTATAGATCACTAGCCATTGGCTCTTATACCAGTTGTTTGGAAATTAGGGAGTTCACAAGCGCATTCATCAGGGAGAAACTCTAAACTCCATAAACGCCATATCAAGACCCAACATACATTATTTGGAACTCATACCCATTTAAAAGCTTAAGCCTATAAGTGAAGAGTCATCTAATTTATATTAAGACCTATCTCTTTTTACTCTTTATCCGATGTGGGACTCTACCTTCAAATATGTTCCAACACATCTGCACTCCACCACACCACCATGTGGCGCACCACCATAAATACAAAGAGTATAAGAAAAAATAATAAATTTTAAATTCAACCTTCTTTGGCATTGCAAATTAACTTAATTAAATTAAGCATTATACCAAGCAAATTTTTAGTTTTTAATTTTCAATTTTACCGAACAACTAGTGTGTAGTTGTTATTTTTTGTCAATAGATAGGAAAGTAATTACAATTATAATAAATATTTACATAATCGAATAGACATTAGCCACAATAGTTAGAAAGTCTAACAATTGATAATTGAAACCCACCAAGCCCAAACCTAACAACTACGTACAATCCACCCTTAACAACCAATAATTAAAACCCACCAAGTCCCACAATGAGAGAGAAATAAACCACTATACCACAAAGGTATCAAACTTCTCTTCATATGAGTTGAACTTGAGATCTCACACTAGAAAATGTGTTACACAACCATTAAGCTAAATGTCCTGATTAACTGCGAATATCTTTACTCCAAAAAAAATAGTGAGAGGTTCAAAATTCCAATTAAACCAACTTACTTTAAAATGAATTAGAAACAAAGATGTTCTACCCTTAGCCTTCTTATAATACTAAATAATGATTTTTATTCACAAAATATTTTATAATTTTTTTAAGAAATCAAACATAAAAATAAACATTGTGATAGAATCATCCTATAACACTTTCAATTTCAATCAGCTAAAACACTATAACAATATTGTTTGCTTTGGAGTTAGGCAAATCCATCAGCTAACCTCTCACGGCTTTAAAAGGCCTCATACTAGTCTAAGAGAGTTAATCCACTTATGTACTAGAGCTATGATCTCTTACAGAGCTGTCATCACTTATAGAGCGATGTGGGATGCGTGGACTTGCCGAGTACACCTACATAACTCTCCAATGGACTGGTTGCCTAACTAGGGAATTCCTACAGACAGCACCAAATGAAGCAGCTAACCCTCATTGACTAGCACGATATTGTCTGCTTTGAAGTTAGGCGAAGCTAGCAGCTAACCCGTTATGGCTTTAAAAGGCCTCATACTAATATAAAGGAGTTAGTCCACTTATGTAGTGGAGTTATGATCTCTCACAGAGCAATGTGGAATTTGTGGACTTGCCGAGTACACCCACATAACTCCCTAGTGGACTGGCTGCCTGAGCAGGGAGTTTCCATAAACGACGCCAAATGAAACAGCTAACCCTCCCTAACTATCACGATATTCTTTGCTTTGGAGTTAGGTGAAGCCATCAACTAACCTCTCACTGCTTTAAAAGGCTTTATACTAGTCTAAAGGAGTTAGTCCACTTATACAGTGGAGTTGTGATCTCTTGCAGAGCGATATGAGATGCGTAGACTTGCTGAGTACACCCACATAACTCCCCAGTCCTGCTTGAGCAAGGAATTCCCACAGATTGCGCCAAGTGAAGCAGCTAACCCCCCCTGACTAGCACGATATTGTCCGCTTTGGAGTTAGGCGAAGCCAACAGCTAACCCCTCACGGGCTTTAAAAGGCCTCATACTAGTCTAAGGGAGTTTCCACTTATGTAGTGGAGCTCTGATCTCTCATAGAGCAATGTGGGATGCGTGGACTTGTCAAGTACACTCACATAACTCTCTAGTGGACTGGCTGTCTGAGTAGGGAGTTCCTATAGACGGTGCCAAATGAAGCAGCTAACCCTCTCTAACTAGCACGATATTGTTTGCTTGGGAGTTAGGCGAACCCAACAGCTAACCCCTCACGGTTTTAAAATGCCTTATACTAGTTTAAGAGAGTTAGTCCACTTGTATAGTGGAGCTGTGATCTCTCATAGAGCAATATGGGATGCGTGGACTTGCCGAGTAAACCCAAAATAACAATAATATTTCATCAAAATTCTTTATCTTCTATACATTTTTTTTATGTGGTATATATGATGAATTTTATTATTTTTTTTACATATAATAAATCTTATGTATACATGTAATATTTATTACATAAATATAAAAAAAATATGAATTAAAATAATAAAATAAATCCGATAACAAATATTATCTGTCAATGTTATTCATTCAACAGGAGTGGATTGAATAATGTGAAACCCACCCATCCATATTCTGAAAGAAGCTACATGTGCCCTACAAGTCATTTATACTGGTAGATATCAGATGTCACTGATTAGTTGCAGTTGGAGGCCTTATTGATTTAGGTTAACCTATTCAATTTTTAATAAATAGGAAAAATTACAATATACATATATATATATATATATAAGTATAATAACAAAATAAATATTGAAATTTTAATTTTATTAATTTTAATTTTAATTTTTTAAATTTACTTTAAATTTAAATCATTTTCTTATTTTCATTAAGTAAAATTAACGAAAAAAATATTTTAGCCATTATACTCAATATAAGTTTATGAAAAATGTCTAAAACACATTTTTTTTATTGAATTTAATGACTAAAAGATTGTTTTTCCATTTGTTTTACTTAATAAAAATAAACAAATGATTTACATTGAAAACAAATCAAAATATTATAATTTAAATTAATAAAATTAAAAATATAGAATTCATTTTGTTATAAGACTCAAATCTTTAAATTTTTTTGGATAATTTTTTCTAATAACCAAACCAAACCAAACGAAGCCTTAAGTCCCATCAAATGGGGTCGGCTACGTGAATCCTTCTTCTCCACGCGGCCCTATCAAAGGCTATTTTCTCAATTATACAAATATATAAATATATTCATTTTAAAAGTGGTCAAAAAAACAAAAGTAATATATGTTTATAATTAAAAGATTAAAATATAAAACCCTCATAAATAAAAGAAGAGTAATGCTAGAGATTCCAAATATTTTATTAAAAATTTTACTAAATGTCTCACATGACGTGGGTTTTATGTGGATCCCACGTCCATGTGAGACATTTGATAAAACTTTTGATAGAATTTTTAAGACTTCTAGCACTTTTGATAAAAGAAATAAAAATAATATTCACTAATAATATAAAAAAATTCTTGGTCTAATTAACCCTATCATTTCCCAACTACTTCTTCATAGCTGGTCGCCAAAGTGGAAACTCACTACTGTCTGGAAGACTTTGGAGTTCTCTCTTTCCAATTTTTTTTGGGTGAACCCTCGTTTGGGTTTTCTTCAAAACTCTTGACTTTTGTAGATTTTGCAGCATTTTGATCTTGGCAAGCGTCTGATTACATAGACAACACACATGCGTATGTGTTAAAGGCCTCTGAGAAACACAGTGAATCAGTAGGAAGATACTAGAAACAAACACGGCCCATCTCCACCACCCAATCTTGTTTTAGGTTCTCTCTCTCTCTCTCTCTCTCTCTCTCTCTCAATGAAACCATTTCATTTGCTAGGTTTGTGTAATTTTATTATTTATTTATTCTTTTACAGCCATACTTGGATCTCTCTGTTTTGTGTTTTGCTTTATGTTTAGTCCAATTCTGATAAAGGGTTGATGCTTGATTGAGCACAAATAATGGATTTTTGATCATTGGTAAACATGTTTGATGTTAGTGCAGACACTGATAAAAACAAATTGAAAAAGTGATGGACTTGTTATGAAAATTGAATCAATCCATTTTGATCATGCTATGCTGATGCTGTGCTTTTGAATTTTGTTCAATTTTGTTTTCTTCTCTAGCATATGAAACCATTCTGTTTTCTTTCTTTAATTGTTTTTTTTAACATACAGTAGAAAAAGATGATCTCCTAATTTTGAGGTTCTCTTTGTTTATATCATTCTTCCAAAGAATCATCTTCCATATAGAGGCTGAAAAGTAACAGTAGAAAAAGGTGATGATTATGGGATTCTACTTCACATAAAGGGTAGATAGACTCGTAAAGTCAACACATATTCCCCAATCAATAATCCTACCTCTGGTTTGCTAATCTGCCATGACATACCAACCAATCAACCAAAAACCATACTTGGGGGGATGTTCTGCTTAGGGGTGGACCTACCATTGTAAGGCCTCACATTTGAGAAGGCCCAAAAATTTTGAGACCCTTAATAATATACTCTTTTATTTTGTAAAGATCCCTAATATTGCCCCAAATTGGCAAAGCCTAAATGTGTGTTATTTCTCTAATTGACGTACATACAAAATTATATTAAAAGTTTAGAGTGTTCTTTGGATGAATGTATTGCTTACAAAATATAATTGACAATATTAGTAACAGTTGTTTCGGTAATAGTTGTTTCTGTAATATTTGTGTGATCAAAATTAAATTGATAAAATTCTAATGTAAGAATAATTATGTCACACAAAAGATTAAATGGATTAGTAAGATTAAAAGGCCTCTATTTGAGATTGTCTAAGGCCCCCAAAATGGTTGGGCCACCCATGTTGCTTAAACCATACAATATCCCACCAATGAACTACATTATTATTATTTTTTGCCCTTACATTGAAGGGGGAAGGGGGAAGGGGGAGTCGAACTTGTTACCTTCTAGTGAGATACACGGGTTTTGGACACCAGTGAACTTGTGACCTCCTAGTGAGGAGGTACACGGGTTCTAGCCACTGGGCTAATGCCAATGGTTCCTTTGCGGCTTCTAATAGCTTCGTAAGCTGATTCGAGGAGTAGTAGATTCCCATTGTATAAGGAATGGAATATCAGGAATGGAAGTCAAACCACTCTATCAGGTCTTGTAATCATGGGCTGCAAAACAAGGGTATCAGACACAATCTATTCCTGCTTCTTATTTATTTCCATGCCCTCTGATGAATAAGTCATCAAACACCAAGGGGCCCAAAGGATCCCAATTAGCTGCTGTCCAAAGAAAGGTATTCATGCCAGCTCCAATCTCATATTTGATAAGCGGCTGACTCAAGCTGTGCAGATTGAGTATTTTTCTCCATTCTGTTTTATTCACAAGTAATTAGCATTTATCCTTTTAAAAACAGAATCAATGAGCTTTTTTTTGGCAAAGACTGTTTACTATTTGTGATGAATGACGATCAATAATTTTCTTGAGCAAATAAAATTATTTCGATAAGATGTCTAGTTCAAACTTTTCTGTGGATTTTACAATAAGCATTTTGATCATATGCATTATATCTAAGTATAATTATTCCCCCTCTTTTTTGGGAAAAAATGTATTTGATGTCAATGTTCCACACAATAAGTATTTGATGTCAATGCTCCGTAAGGCCTTAGTTCGCGTTATCCAATATATAATTATCTTCAAAAGGAATTATATTTTATTTTATTTATTTTATATTTTTCTTTAGGGATGCTTAAGAGAATTATTGTGGTTCTGTTGATTGCGTTGCTAGCATGGGCATATCAGACCATGTGCCCTCCACCTCCCAAAACCTGTGGCTCCCCAGGTGGTCCACCCATTACTGCACCAAGAATAAAGCTTAGGGATGGAAGACATATGGCTTATAAGGAGCATCGGGTGCCAAAAGAAACAGCCAACTATAAGATCATCTTGGTTCATGGCTTTGGTTCTTGCAGACATGATGCAAGAATTGCAACATTGGTTATGTTTTGATCTGTTAATTTATTGTTGTTGTTGTTATTATTATGTGGATAAAATACACATATGGTCCCCAAAGTATCCATTTGATGTCACTGTGGCCTTCCAAGTTTCAATTTTGTCAAATTCGTTTCCAAAGTTTCCCAGTTTAGTTAGTTTGCTCCAATTATAAACAACTGCCTAAATTTTTAACAGAATATAATAAAATACACTGATGATTCCTAAAGTTTGTATTTTGCGTCACTTTGGCCCCCCAAACTTTCAATCTTGTCAACTTCATCCGTAACCACTATAAGGCTTTGTATGGATGGTAGAACTCTAGAGGGGGATTACTAAGATTCCTAAATTATCCAAATAGTTAGATGTGATTATCTCAGAATTAGATTTACTGGGTATTGGATTCTCATTAATGCAATTTTCATTCCCCTTCTAGCTGTTAGTCATCCAAACATAGTTTTACAGTGTTTTGGGACAAAATTGAATAAGGAAACCAAAATGATGCAAAATGCATACTTTAGAGACTATGGGTGTACTTTATTATCATTTCCTTAAGAATTTAGATTACCCATTTAAAATTGGACCAAATTGACTAAACTTGAAACTTGGAGGACCAAAGTGACAAAATGCATGCTTTAGGGACCATAGATGTATTTTATTCTTTTTAAAATTTGGGAGGTATTTTCAGTGGTTGTTTCATATGAGTTCATCATGGATCTTTTCAGGGAATAGTGGAAGAACTTGGTGTGTATCTTGTGTCCGTTGACAGACCGGGTTATGGAGAAAGTGATCCGGATCCAAAACGAACCTTGAAAAGTTTTGCTTTAGATATAGAAGAGCTAGCCGATCAATTGGGACTTGGATCCAAGTTTTATGTAATTGGGTTTTCAATGGGAGGACAGGCGGTTTGGGGCTGCCTTAAGTACATTCCTCAGCGGTAAGATGCGACCAAGCTGTAGTCACTACTCTCACCATGATGACAGATTAAGCATTATGTCAACTTTTGCATTTTTGGTAATTTAAATTCAAGAAGTATATAGGAAATTCGAAGAAAGGAAGCACATGTTTTGAACAAATTGATTTTTTGAGTTCTATGCAATGAAAAGTGTTTTTCAAAATTTCTCTGAAGTCGGATATTTTGGGTGCTCACAGTCTAGCAGGTGCAGCACTACTTGCTCCGGTTGTCAACTACTGGTTGCCTGGTTTTCCTGCAAACTTAACTAAAGAAGCCTATTATGAACAATTTCCACAAGACCAATGGGCTCTTCGAGTCGCTCACTACGCCCCGTCGCTCACTTATTGGTGGAACACTCAGAAATGGTTTCCCCCTTCAAGTGTTGTAGCTGGAAGGCCTAAACTCAACAGGCAAGATATAGAACTTATTACAAAGCTTGCAGCGCATCAAAAGCACAAGGTACTATTAACTTTTCCTGTTGTATTACGAAGATGGGTATCGATAGGACATCCGTGTTAGTGCCTATATACGTGCATTAGTTGTTATGATCAAGAATTTGCAAATTCAATCATTTTATGGATAATTTGGCATAATTGCATTACCAAAATCAAAATCTTTAAATGTTAGACACGACACACTGATATGGAAATTGTTAAAAAATATAAGACAACACATGGGGGACTCATGAAAAATATATAATTTTATATATATTTATTATGTGTTATATATAAAGACAAATAATTATAACATGTCATATTTGTGACTATTTAAATAAAATATAATAATATTTGAAGTCTGAAAAAATAAAACAAATATAAATTTACATTATTTTTATTTTATCATTATCCGGAATCTTTTAGATTCAAGTGTTTTTCTCCAAATCTCTAACTTTGTGTTAACTCCTTCTTTATTCTCATCCACTAGCACAATATCGTCTGCAAAAAGCATGCACCATGGCACGTCATCCTGAATATTTATCGTCAACTCGTCCATAACTAAAGCAAAAAGATAAGGATTTAAGGTAGATCCGTGGTATAACCCTACAGTGATAGGAAATTCATTTGTCTCTCCAGCTGGCGATCTAATAGTGGTCACCACCCCTTCATACATGTCCCTAATCACGTCAATGTAACCTTTTGTCACCTCCTTATTCTCTAACACCCACCATATTATATCCCGGGGCACTCTGTCATATGTTTTCTCAAGGTCGATAAACACCATATGAATGTCTCTTTTCTTTTCTTTTCTTTTCTTTATACTTTTCTATTACTCTCCTCAAAAGATAGATCGCCTTTGATAAGGCTGCGTGGAGAAGAAGGATTCATGTAACCGATCCCATTTGATTGGACTTAAGGCTTGGTTTGGTTTTTATTTTATCATTGGATTGCAAGTTATTTTATTCAAACTTGTAATGTGTTTTATGTGTCTAAGTGTTGAAAAGTGTTTGACTCGTCTTGTGTCGTGTCGTGTCGTGTCATGTTGGTGTCTTTGTTGGACACAACATGTTACCTTTGTAGAACTGTCCACGTTTCTTAATCTATATCTATTGGAGCAATAGTGTGAGCTAAATGAATTGGTTGACTGATTCAGAGTTTTTTGCTTGTTTTTGCAGGCGTATGCAATGCAACAAGGAGAATTCGAATCCTTGCATCGCGACATGATGGTTGGATTTGGGAGTTGGGATTTTGATCCTATGGATCTTACAAACCCTTTTGTTGACAATGAAGGTTCAGTTCATCTTTGGCAGGGGGATGAAGATGGCCTTGTACCCGTTAAACTACAACGCTACATTGCCACAAAACTTCCCTGGATACAGTACCATGAGTTACCTGGCGCTGGACACCTGTTGCCACATTCTGATGGAATGGGTGAGGCAATTGTCAAGTCACTTCTACTTGGGGAGAAATGAGAAGCGGCCTTGGATGAAATGACTACAGTCAGGTTTTGTTGTCTTGGGATTTGTGCATGTCATTCTTGTGCAGGGGCTATGCTACTATTCTCTGAATCGGTCAAACTTTATTGAATGTCCCTGAAGATTGTCATTTTTAGTTGCTTTAGAACTTTAAGGCTAAACCTTGAAATAAGAAACGCAATTTTAAATTTCTTGCAATTTCAGAAAATAAGTGTAACTAATTTTGTATACAAGTGAGAAGTCTAAAGGGCAAACCTTGAAACATGTATTTTTCAGCAGCACAGAAAATGTGTATTACCAGATCTTGTTATCTCCCGTCCTAAACTCCCTCTCTATCGATGAAAATAATATGAAGTATAGTTCAAGCTATGATGCAATTCTCACCAGACTTTCTCATTGTACCTTTCGTTTTTGTCTCTAATAAATTCTTTTTTTTCATTGATTAAAAAAAAAAAAAAATGTTGTTCAGATGTTGATGCCTCCAAACATAGTTTAACTGATAAATTGGGCAGATAAAAGCCATAGCGAAACCATCTCCTTGAATAATTGGGCAGATAGTTCACCTCATAAACTGATCAGTGCTATTAGATTCTTCATTTGTTGATGGTCATGAATGTAGGTTTAGGCTGAATTATATAAATCTTGGTTTCGTGTGTTTGTGATTGTCACTCACTCTTATTTGTTTTATGATATTAGTGTTTTTTTTTTCTTCATATTTATATCTTTCAATCTTGGTGTGGTTGGATGTTCAAGAGGCTCTCTGCACAATAAATTGGTATCAGAGTTTTGGGGTTTGGCCTTTGTGAAACTTGTGTTCATTGTTGGTGGTTTGTGAAAGTTGAAAGGAAGGTGGCTGAAGAGAAATCTTCTAGCAAATTTGAGTAGTGGTCTATGATTTCCAACGCAGAAGTTGAAGTTGAAAATTTTGATGGTACTAACTAATTTGGCATATTGGTTGGAGGTCATGGACTTGTTAATCCAATAAGATTTGGATATTTGAAAGTATGGCATAGAAAGAGTAGGAAAAAATTAATCGTCAGGCTTGTGGCACTATTGGATTTTGCCTTGTAAAAGATTCAAAGTATTTTGTTATGTGAGAGATGATGGTTAACAATTTGTGAAAAAAACTTGAAAACAAGTTTATGATCAGGAGTGTATAGAATTGACCCAAAAAAAGTGTAAAGAATTGACTCTTTTTTGTTTTTTTTGTTTTTTTTGAAAAAAAGATAAACATATATATATATATATATATATATATATATAAAACATATCACTAAACACTTGCCAGTTTATGGACCGACTCCACCACATACCTACTAACTTCAGAAATATGTAGGAAGTTAAAACAAGCATTGCTACACCTAATATCACTAAATATTGAAGCTATATTCCAATCTGGAGCACAAACGCCCTTCGGAGTATTAACCGAAACTTGACAGTCTGTGACGATGGACACGCAGTTGAGTCTCCTGTCTTTCGCCCACTAAATAGCAGCCAAACAACCATCAGCAGTAATTAAGGGCTGATGGCAAACGGGTTTCCTGAGCGTGTTTTCCTACCATAACCTGGTCTTCATCATAACACACCCATGCATATCCAGCCTTGCCTCCTTTCTCTTGCCAAGATCCATCGACAACAAAGCTCCACACCTGACTCTACCTGAAGAAGAAACTGTTTTGATGCAAATATGAGGAAGGGATATCTATGTTTGAACACTTGACTGATTATAATAGAATATTTACCGATCTGAATTCAGATGTTGAAATTAAAGATGATGATAAAGCTTTTTTGTTGTTGAATTCTTATCACTACTTTGTTACATGGTAAGGATGAAATTTGTTTTGAAAATGTATCTAATATTTTGATTAATAAGAGTGTACATGGAGAAAGATAAACAGGCCCATAATGAGTATTTTGATTAACAATGAGTACATAAAGAAAGATAAATAGGCCCATAATGACACATCTAATGAAATTTTGACAATTAGAGGCAAGTCTGAAGATACGAAAGCTAGTAAGGGATGTAGTAGACCTTGTTCTCAATGGGAGTTTCAACTAATAGATTGGACCTCGTGAAGGATGAGTGTACATATTGTTACAACAAAAGGCATTGAAAGAAAGATTGTTCAGTTTTGAAGAACAAGGAAAAAGTTAATTCCAATGCTAATGTAATGTAGCAGATGATGACTAATGATTCTGAGTTTGCATTATTAGGTTCATTATTGGTTTGCCACTCTAATTGGTTTGCACTTGCACTTGTTATTTTTATTTTTTTGGAGAGGTCACACTTGTTTGCACTTCCTATTAGTGTGTGTGTGTGCTTTTTTTTTTTTTTCATAAAAAGACTATTTGCTCAACTTATTAGTATATTATTCGGTGTCATTTAGTGTGCACCAATTAGTTTTTTTTAAACTAATTTGTTCAAATATTTTTTTTCAAATTATGACATATCATTAACAAAATTTGTATACTTTTTAAGTATATTTTGAATAAATCAGCGAAATAATTGAGATAATAATACTGTTTAAACTATTTCCATCATCAATCACTAGTTTTGAGTTGTGTAGAAAATAACTGAGTTGACTAGGATTACTAGATGCAGTAGACATTATATCCAAATTCTTGAGCAATTATTAGGAATTACAGATGTATTGTTTTCCTGCTTTGGCGACCAATTTATTAGTCGCGACAAATAAATAATTTTTTTTCGCAAAAAATGACAGTTGCCGACCAAGAGTTTTGGTCGCAAAAAATACATCTATTGCCGACCAAAACAGCTCTTGGTCGTGGAAACTCACTTTTGCCAACCAAAAGTATTGGTCGTGAAAAGTAACAAATGGCGACCAAAACCTTTTTTGGTTGTGGAATGTCACAATTGGCGACCAAACTTTTTGGTCGCGGAATGTCACGATTGCCAACCAAAATTTTTTGGTGGCGGAATGTCACGATTGGCGACCAAACTTTTTGGTCACGAAATGTGTCAATTGGCGACTAAGAAATTTGGTCGGCAAAATGTGACTTTTCGCGACCAAAGTGTTTTAGCGACAAAATAAATTAGTCGCGGTAATTAAATAATTAGCGACCAAAAATTTAGTCGGCAAATCCAACTTTTGCTGACCAACCAAAATTTTGGTCACGAATTACTTTTGCCGACCCTCAATTGGCGACCAAAGTAGCGACCAAAAAAATTGGTCGCGGATAACTTTTGCCGACCAAAAATAGACTTTTAGCGACCAATTTTTTTATTGCCAAAAGTGTTAATTCTTGTAGTGACACTAAGGAGTTTTTTTTTTGTGTGTGTGTGTGTGTGTGTGTTACATTAGTGTGTAGTAAAGAGTTTTATTGGACTGTTATATTTGAAAAAAATACACCAAGAAGTTTTTTTGAAGTGTTATATTAGTGTGTTATGTTTGGAAAAAATACACTAAGAAGTTTTTTTGTGTGCTACATTAGAGTATTACACTAAGGAGTTTTTTTGGAGTATTATATTTAAGTGTTACGTTTAGAAAAAATACACTAAGGAGTTTTTGTGTGTGTATTATATTAGAAGTGTTACACTAAGGCATTTTTTTGGAGTGTTATGTTTGGAAAAAATACACTACGAATTTTTTTTGGAGTGTTATATTAAAGTATTATGTTTAGAAAAAATATACTAAGGAGTTTTTTTAGGAGTGTTACAGTTTAAAATTATACATTTGTCCAAAACTTACTAAGAAGTTTTTGTACTCCTTTTGAAATGTTTGAAGAATCCTATATTTCAAATCATTTTTGTACTCCTTTTGAAATATTTTCCAAATAAAAATGATTCTCATACGAAAATTCATTTCAAATTTGATTATCATAAATTGTGTGTCTTACCTTTTCTAGCACAAAAGAGGGAAAAAAAAGAAGAGAAGGAAACATAATGGAAATAAGGTTATAATCCTAAATTTAATTTTTAAATAATATATTAAATCTATCTTTCCAAAATCAAAGGGACTAATTGGTGTATAAGAAAATTCTTGGGACTAAATAGATTACCATTTCTCAAAATGAAATTTATAGGTAATTTTTTTTTTCCCATTGATATATATATATATATATATATATTCATTTAAGATATGTATTATTTCTTACCTAGAGTCATTCTATTAAAAAAATAATAATTAATAATAGGTTATAATTTATTGTGGGGATATATTTTCTGAATACCAACACGTGGCAAGGTGACGCCGACGTGTCAGCCGAAGTGCCACGTGTCCGGGTTATGACGCCGAGGTTATCTCGGCAAGGCCGAGGTTATCTCCGAGGATATCGGAATCCGAGATAAGCGGATAAGGGATAAGGGACAAGAGTCCTAGAGTAAAGTGGAGACTTAGCCAAGATAAGGATAAAACTCTTAGGGAGTTTGTCTTTATCTCCTAAAGAGTCCAAAGTAAGTACTGAACAGGAGTCCATAGAAGTTAGGCTTCTATTGGGACTAGGTTTATGTTGGCTATAAAAGAGAGGCACCCCAGAGGAGTTTTTTTTTTTTTATAGATTGGACCTCGTGAAGGATGAGTGTACATATTGTTACAACAAAAGGCATTGAAAGAAAGATTGTTCAGTTTTGAAGAACAAGGAAAAAGTTAATTCCAATGCTAATGTAATGTAGCAGATGATGACTAATGATTCTGAGTTTGCATTATTAGGTTCATTATTGGTTTGCCACTCTAATTGGTTTGCACTTGCACTTGTTATTTTTTTTTTTTTGGAGAGGTCACACTTGTTTGCACTTCCTATTAGTGTGTGTGTGTGCTTTTTTTTTTTTTTCATAAAAAGACTATTTGCTCAACTTATTAGTATATTATTCGGTGTCATTTAGTGTGCACCAATTAGTTTTTTTTAAACTAATTTGTTCAAATATTTTTTTTCAAATTATGACATATCATTAACAAAATTTGTATACTTTTTAAGTATATTTTGAATAAATCAGCGAAATAATTGAGATAATAATACTGTTTAAACTATTTCCATCATCAATCACTAGTTTTGAGTTGTGTAGAAAATAACTGAGTTGACTAGGATTACTAGATGCAGTAGACATTATATCCAAATTCTTGAGCAATTGTTGATATCTCCCTGCAAAGGTAACCAGTTTCCTGACCTCCCACTACATTTGCTGTATATACTAGAATATGCATTCATTAAAAATTATAATATTCCTTACTCCCAATCCTCCTTGCTTCTTAGTCTTTGATATCTCCTTCCAACTGTACTTTTCTTCTTACTTCAGTGTCTCCCCAAAAAGGAAGCTTGAAGTGTGTCCACCAGGACGGTCCTGAGATATTTGGGGCCCTAAGGCCAACTTTTGAAATTGGGCCCATTTAAAAGTAATTTGAAAAAGAAAAAAAAAAAATGATTGGATAAAATGCTAAGTACTTACTTTTATTTATTTATTTGCTAATATCCACACAAACCTTATATGAAATTAGCAAGCTAGACTAATATATATATATACATATATATTTTTGGATAAAACATTAATAAATCTCAAATCATGATCTTGTGAACTATTTAGTCCTCTCTTTTTTCTTAGGAGCCCAAAAATTTTATTAAAGTGAAAATTACACAAAAGGATAATCATTTACATGAGTGGGTTTAATTTTTCAGAAATAAAAGTGGGTTTCTTCAAATGTAAAATTATATATTTGGGCAATTTGTACTATAGAAGTTTTAGATTTTCCCTCATTTTAGAACAAATCTCACATTACGAACAAAAATGTAATATTCTAATGTAACACTCCAATAACATAACTCTTCAATGTAACACATTAAAAAAAATTTTAGTGTATTTTTTCTAAACGTAATAACGTAACACTAAATTTTTTTTCTTAGTGTTCCTTTTTCAAACATAACACTCTAATTTAACAAAAAAAAAAAAAAAAAAACCTTCTTATTGTACTTTTTCTAAACATAACACTCCAATCAATGTAATTCCAACCATAATACTTCAATGTAACATATTCCAATATAACACACGTAAAAACACTAAAAAATTCTTAGTGTATTTTTTCCAAACGTAACCTTCATAGTTTGAAATTATACATTTGTCCAAAACTTACTAAGGAATTTTTGTACTATTTTTTGAAATGGTTTGAAAAATCCCACATCCTTTTTTTGGAGTATTACATTGAAGTGTTACGTTTGAAAAAAGTTCACTAAAGAGTTTTTTTTAGAGTGTTATATTAGAGTGTTACATTTGAAAAATATACACACTACAAGAATTTACACATTTTGCGACCACTATTGCCGACCAAAAAAATTTTGGTCGCAAGAAAATGACATTTGGCGACCAAATATTAATTAGTCGCGATTGATCTTTATTTTTGGCGACCAAATATTATTGGTCGCAGAAGGTTATATTTTGGCGACTAAAAAATGAGTTGGTCGCAGACAGTGGTATGCTTTTGCCGACCAACTACAAATTTGGTCACGGAAGGTCACATTTTTTTTAGCGACAAAAAATTTGGTCGCCAAAAACTTATTTTCAGCAACCAAAAAAAATTAGTCGCCAAATTAGTACTTTTAGTGACTAATATTTTAGTCGCTGTTGATTGAGATTTGGCGACTAAAAATATTTGTCAGCGAAAGTACTTTTTTTGCGACTAATATGGTCTTTTGGTCGCCAAAAATTATTTTTTTCTTTGGCAACCAAAAAATTTGGTTGCCAAAAACTTATTTTCAGCAATCAAAAAAATCAGTCGCCAAATTAATATATTTAGCGACTAATATTTTAGTCGTCGTTGATTGAGATTTGGCGACTAAAAAGATGTCGTCGAAGATACCTTTTCTGCGACTAATATTTTCGTCGCCAAATATTAATGAATTTTTTTTACTTTTGATCTTTGCCGACCAAAAATGTGGTTGGCAAAATACTTATTTTTAGTGACCAAAAAACATTTTGTCGGCAATAAAGTTAAACAATTTCAAAAACACAGTTTCATTTTTTTGGTGGGAATACACTCTTACATTACCGCCCAATTTATTTTCTATCAATATGTAGATAGACCCAAACAAGTTCAGTCTCTTGCTCTCTCTCTCTCTTTCAGACTCACCATCGTTGATTCGCCGTTCACAGTCACCGTCGGTCTTCCACCGTCGTTCACCCTCGATCTTCCACTGTCGCGCATCATTACAAATCAAAGTGCAACACTAGAAACCTCTCTCTCTCTCTCTCTCTATATATATATATATATATATATATATCTCTATATCTCTATACATACAAATATGTGTAGCTAATTTCGAATTAGATTTAGATTTCAATTTAGATTTCTTTCAATCTTGTTTTCAATTCTAACCTCCTTTGCTAATGGAATTAATTATTGTTCTCACCTCCTTTGCTAATGGACTCCTCAGAAGTCATTTCGTGAGTATATTCCTTCTCATCGTGAACAACCACCATCAGCCCTCTTTTCCTTTTTACCCCTGTTTCTCCCCCCTCCCTCTCTCTATATATATACTACCTCATTTGCCACCAAGGCCACATCTAAAATTTATTAGCAAAGGAGGTTCTTCGCTTTGAGCGACGGGGGTTTCGAGGGAACTAGGGTTTTGTTCTTCGCTTCATTGCTCTTCTTCCAAGGGGGCGGCATGGATTACTCCAAGGTCGGAGAGAAGCTTCTCAGCTCAGTTCGCTCTGCCCGATCTCTCGGCCTCCTTCCTTCCACTTCCGATCGTCCCGAGTTAATTAATCCCTCATTATGCTTATTTTACATACATATTTATGTGGGTTTGTATTTTGCTACATGGGTTTCTTCAGTAATGTAGTTTTTTAGGTACCCAAATTGAGTTAATGAACTCACAACTAGTGTTGAATTTTGATCAACATCATCAGTGTTGACTTGGGTTTCTATTTTGCATATCGATTAATAGACTAAATTGAGCTGGTGAACTTAGAGGGAATTATGCATCTAATTAAAATTATCTTTTTATTTATTGTTTTATTTTTTACCTTGACTAGTGTTGATTTGGGGTTTGACTGAATTTTATTGGTTGGATTGGAAATTGGGTTTCTTTACCTACTCCTCGAAATTCATTAGCAGATTAGGTCGTTTGGGTACACTTTTGTTGCAGTTATGATAAGAGTGGTGTGCTTAGTAAAAATATGTGTGGCAACTCATGTGTTAGTATTACCTGCATCATTGTGTCTTGAGGTATTTCAAAAAAAAAATTACCACAATTAATTTTCTCAATTAGCACATAGTTGCATGTAACTTATTTGAACATGTAGGCTTGAGGGAGCAGCTATTAGAAAAGCAAAACAGATGTAAATGAAATGAGGTGTAATGTGATGAAAAGAATATAAATGGTTTTTTTATTTTTTTTATAAGAACGGATATAAAGTTGAGGCCATTTATTGGGCTACTTATAATTTTTATTTATTATGAGAATTTGTGCCAAAGTATTCGGTGTAGTTACTTACATTTTATAAGGCAAAAATACATTAAATAAGCTGAAAAAGTTGATTATTGAAAAGTTGAGAGAAGGATGCTTTTAGTTTCTTCGTTATGATGATTACCTTTCAACTTACGAGAAGCTATACTAAACAGACCCCTTATAGGTAGAGACATAATGATGAATCCAATTTAGGAATTGGATTCCATAAGAGAGAAAATGCTGAAATTAGGGATAAAGAGCACTTAGCTCAATAGATACAATCTCAAAATGTCACAAACTGATTATAATGAGCCTAAACCGCCTACTTGTAGACTAAAGACCCAACTAAGCACTTATGGTTAGCTCATGCACAGCTGGCCATTCTAATAGACAACTAAATCTTATTACATCACATTACTTGGAGGCTGGATTACAAGTTTTATTTTATTTGGTCGTGTGGTTGGAAGAGGGGATGAAAAAGGTCTGGTTTCAAAATTGAAAATATTTTTATTGTCTTGAATAGGTATTGAGGACAACTTAGAAAACATGACCTTTGAATATTAAAATTTCATCTTTAAGGAACCAAGACTATGACTGATAAAATAAAGGGTGAATTACACGAACCTTTCTTGATGTTTAATATGATTATGTCACACCCCTATGTTTTGAAAAAATTACATTGATCCACCCTATCAAAAACAACTCTAACAAAAGCAATGAATTTATTATATTATCCTTTCTATCTAAAATGACTTTTTCGAATAATAAATTCCTAAATTACTGATTCACTTCTTGAGTAAACTCGGTGATTCCATGCTGTCATCTCCCTTTACCCAAACGCGCCATTATTATCCCCATGAATGATGATAAGTGCGAAACACTGCCACCCACACTTCGCAACCATAGCCTCACAAGACCATTGTCGCCTAATCTTTCAATTCTCTCTCTCTCTCTCTCTCTCTCTCTCTCTCTCTCTCTCTTTTCCGCTCTTCATCAAACCCAACCATCCAACATGACACCCATGCCACATGGCCGAAACAAAAACAACCAAACAACAAAACCATCTTTAGCAAGTGATCACACTATAACCATCACCACAACAATTACCATTGTTGTCTTTTACCACCATGCACCACCCATCACCACTCACTACATCCTTGAACTTCACCAATAATTTATTTGAGGAAACCAAAATGGTGTCTTATAGCTAACGATCTTATTTGCTTCAATCCATACCACTTTAAACATTGCAAAACACCCACGTTTGCTAGAACAAAATCCATCATTATAGTCATGGAATTGTCATGCCGTCTTCTCTCACCTAAAATTTTACATTGTTTCTTTAGAATTCTACAACTCTCTGCATTTTTTTTTCCAAATTTTTAATTTACTCTCCATTTTAAAGATTGATATAGGTGTAGAAAGATTAAACTAAATTACTTGTGGAATGAGATTTTCATTTGCAATTTAAATATGGAGGTTGTGGATCTTCTAATTCTTAAAAAAAGTATGGGATTCTTAGAAACTATGTACAACTTTTGTATTGGCATGTATAACAACCCAAGTGAGTTGGTTACGTGGATTCTTGGAGTTTCAACTCCAGAAGGTCCCACATGAAGTGGGCTTGATTCCAGCTCGACCTTGAGCACGTTTTTATTTTCCAAAAAGCTCCAAATTGCCTTGCTCGATCAGCGCTCAAGCGGGCTCTAGGTTTGGATCAATTGTTGACCTAATTAGGACAATAATTATTTTTTTTTTATAAATTGATACCTGGTTTTCTTTGTAATATAAGGAAATGTACTCTGGAACATGTATGGTGATTTAATTGCATCATCTGGTATTGTTATTGAGATGTTCAACTTGTCGGCCTGTATAATGATCCGTATACTTTATATCAACCAGAAGATGCTTGGTCTTGTCAATTTTATTTCTTGGGGAAATTGGTTACAATTCTCAATTCTTTCTTTGCTTTTATACTCTGTTTCCCACATGTTGGTCTTTTTATTTTTGATTTTTTGGATTTTGCATCAGGAATGCAATTTCTGCTTCAATCATTCTAGGTTAAAATTCTTTTGGTTTTACTTTTTTTTGGAATATTTTATTGTTCATATCAATATTCAGTTCTAGATATCATTAGTCAATAGTCAAAACTGGATATTATTAAATAATTGCTACAATTCTTTTCTTATAGTAATTATTGATTGGGGATTAATCATTGTTGCAATGTTTGATGTGTTTTGCTCTCTCTGACATCTTTTTATGCATTCATTACGTGGTTGGTTTTTTCAATGGACTTGTTACCAGCATGGACACTTCCAAGGCGCATGTCCATGTCCAAACCAATGCTCATCGGACACTTCCTGACATGTGTTGGGCATATAGTCAAATGTGTTATATTATTATTTTTTATTAGTTTTAGACCAAGACACACTTCTGATGCATGGGGGACACACATGTCCATTGCTTACACACACACACGAAACACAGTACAAGTAACTTAGCCAATACAATGGTAAAAAGAAAAAAGAAAGTAACAATTGTTGTTCAGCATTCTTGTTGTTTTCATTTTTTTCTTGATACGAGTGTTTCAATGCTTTATAGGTGGTTGATGCTTATGCGTTGATTGGGGATGTTTCTGGTCTTGCTGAAAAGATACAAAGCTTCTTTATGCAGGAGGTTCTCTCAGTAACCCATTCTGTCTTGAAAAATATTTTGCAGGAGGTATGCTGCTGCATTCTATTATCAATTGAATTCATTACTGAAGCAGCTGGAGATAAACAAAGTGAAAAGAAACAAGATACTTGCATATCATTGTGTTTGTGTGTTGGTTTGGACTTCTTTGGGCCAGGTGTAGTTTATCAGTCTGTAGATTTCCTTAAGAACAAAAGAAAGAAAAGTGTATCCCGTCCCTCATCGCATAGTTGTCTCACTTTAATGGGTCTTATAAGTCTCCAGTCATCTTAGTGTTATGCCCTTCTGGAGGTAGTGCATGAGTTTGGACTTATTTTTGTTCCGATATGGTTTCTCTCTGTTTCTTTTATACTTCTTTAAGATCAAAGGACAGAAAAGTGTATTCGGCCCACATCCAGTAGTTGTCCCACCCTAGTGAGCCAATAAGTCTCCATCACTCTTTCGTGAGTCAGGCCCTTTTGGAGATAAGTTTGTGGGTTTGGACTTCTTTGGCCTAGGCGTGGTTTGTGTGTTACATTTCCTTAAGATCAATAGAACCAAGTATATCATTATGGTTATCATTTTGATGCCACTGTATTACATGCAAAATTATAACCTTGAGTCATCTACAAGTGATGATCACCGTAAATGGAAATGGTAGAAGCGGAATATATGAATTATTTAATTATGTGAGCATATAGCCCTTGATAGAGTGGATAATTAAATAATTGTTGAACAACACACACACACACACACACACGCAGACACTTTTTCATTGAACGACATTCTCACTGAGATACTATTTAAATTTGGCAGGACCTGGAACCTTCCAATATGCAAAGTAGTAGGTGTTACTTTTATGTCTCTGCATACATTGTTTGGTTTTAGCATAAACCATGCTGGTTCTGATTTAGTTTTTAAATATCTTCCAGTTCCAGACTTACCTACAGTGATCTATGCCATCAAATACCTGAATCCAAGTTTAGGCAATGTTTATTGACAACACTAGCTGCCCTTTTTAAGTTGATGAGTTCATATCAAGCAAGCTTGCAAACGAGTGTTGGTATGGCACCATTTGAGGCCTTATATGGCCGACTGTGTAGATATTTTGTGTGTTGGGCTGAGGTGTGTCACGCACCTATGTTAGGTTTTGATTTAGTCTGGGATACAATGGAGAAAGTCGCTCTTATTCGTAAGAGGTTAGTTTCGGCTCAAAGTTTCCAGAAGAGTTATGTTGACCGTAGGAGGAGACCTTTATCTTTTGAGGTAGGAGATTACGTGTTACTGAAGATATCACCGAGACGGGATTTAATTAGATTTGGGAAGACCAGCAAGTTGTCTCCTAGATTTATTGGGCCTTTTGAGATTCTAGAGCGGATCGAAGAGGTAGCTTATCATTTGGCCTTGACGCCCTAACGTTTTAGGATTCAGGATGTGTTCCATATTTGTATGGTCTGGAAGTACGAGCCTGATCCTTCATACATGTTGGATTGGACCGCGTTAGAGGTAGATGAGGATGCCTTGTATGAGGAGAGACTAGTATGGGTTTTAGACTATCGGGACCAATTCTTGTGAGGCAAGACTATTCCATTGGTTAAGATGTTGTGGCAACACCATAGGGTTAAAGAGGCGACTTGGGAGCGTGAGGCTGAAGTTCGTGAGAAGTATCCGGACCTATTTGTTGATATTAGAGACGTGTGTTGAAAATCTAATTTTTGTTGTAATATATAAGTATTGTATATGTTTTGGGAAGTTGAATTGAAATAGTTGGCGTTGAAAACACTTCATTTATCTTTGTCATGAGTATGGATGATCCATGATATGATTTACTTTCAATAAATGTTAGTTGGTTTTGTTTTAAATTTGGGGGACAAAATTTCTTAAGGAGGGAAGATTATAACAGTTTCGGTTTAGACTGGACCCATTTTTTGCTTTTGAATCTGAGAATTCGTATCTTTAACTATTGTTTATCTCATTTTCATCTTGTTACTAGTTGAATTTGGTTATTTAGGAGTTATGATTGTGTTTGAAACATGTTGGGAAATTAGTTTTTCAAAGAATCGTTGCCTAAATATTTGCCTGTTTGCTCGACCGACCTTTCTTGCGTTCGAGCTGTCTTTTACAGTCTGCAAAACTACTAGAAGAGTGATATCTTCGCTCGAGCGATCTTTTGTAGGTTTGAACTTCTTGGGAGGGGTCATTATTCACTCAAACGGTGGTTTTGGTCACTCGAGCTGTGTCACTTATTGTATCTGACGCTCGAGCGGTATTTTGGTCGTTTGAGCGGCCTACGCGTATACTAGTCCGAAAGAAAGGCATTTTGAGTCACTTTTTCAGTCCCCTCTCTCTCTTTCTCAGTTTCATAACTTACAACCTCAAACTTGAGTTTTACAGATCACACATGATGATTTCAAAAGCTAGCCATTGATGCAGCAACATCACTGCCACTTTTAATGCAATTTAGATTCAGTGGTGTGGGGATGTATTTTCTAAATACCAACACGTGGCAAGGTGACGCCGACGTGTCAGCCGAAGTGCCACGTGTCCGGGTTATGACGCCGAGGTTATCTCGGCAAGGCCGAGGTTATCTCCGAGGATATCGGAATCCGAGATAAGCGGATAAGGGATAAGGGACAAGAGTCCTAGAGTAAAGTGGAGACTTAGCCAAGATAAGGATAAAACTCTTAGGGAGTTTGTCTTTATCTCCTAAAGAGTCCAAAGTAAGTACTGAACAGGAGTCCATAGAAGTTAGGCTTCTATTGGGACTAGGTTTATGTTGGCTATAAAAGAGAGGCACCCCATGGGTCTAAGGTATGTTTTGTATACTCAAGCTTGTGAATTTAGCACTTGATTTATCTTTGAGAGATATACTGACTTGATCGTCGGAGTGCCCCCGGGTGGTTGAACCACCGCCGGAGACTTCTCTTTCTATTACAGGTTAGCTAGAGGTCATCTATTCTGCCAATGCTTTCCCAGCTGATTACTAGGCGGGCAGTGTGGTCAGAAAATCACCCACTAATTTATTTTTTTAATAAGGAAATATAATTGAACTGAAATCAAACATTTTATGAATAATTTTATCTAGTAGCGATTAATGTCATACAATTTAACTTGCGGAAAGAAAAAAAAAAAATCATTTTGCTGTACACTTGGTACTTTTAACTAAGAGTAAAAGTTTAACATGAAAAATAACTAATATAATAACATAAAAATAAAATAAAAAAATGAATTGAATTAATGTCGAGGTAATTTTGACATAAATTTTAAAATAAAACAACAGGGTACCTATTCCTAATTAGCGCCCTAAATTTTTTCCAAATTTGGGGCCTGAAGTGAACGTCTTGGTCGCCTCTACCTAGGGGCCGGCCCTATTGCCCACCTCCTTGGCTACATCTTTAGGCATTTTGAATATGGATAGGTACTCCATGGCTATATCTTCAAGCATTTTGAATAGGGATAGACACTAAGTTGGTAAGCTTGATAACACTGATTTGATAAGAGTAAGCCTTCTAGCGAAAGAAAGATAGCTGCCTCTTCCATATACACATACAGCAGCAACTAACTCACACATACATACAGATAATATATCTATACATATAGTCTAACCACTTCTCTCTAACTAACTTCCATATCTGTTACACAGTTATAGATCCTAGAGATGCTATTGTTACTTGGCTGTGATACACGAGCATTCAACAACTGTGAACCTTGATTCTTGAATTCAGTTGGCATGAGCTCACTGAGATGATGAAGTAATAGTCTTATCACTTCTTCCAACCTGAGCTTTTGCTCTTGCTCTTGTCCAAGATTGGTTTCCAGGTAGCTTTCCTTCTTCGATTTGCACCAAGAGGTAGTCCAACATATTTCAAAGGAAATCTTGATGTAAAATCATACACCAATTCAGCACAGACCACACTTTTGTGAAAATTGAATTTCAACCCTAACATGACTTCAAAGCACCTAAGAATTCTCTTGATAGTTATAATTTCCACTCATTCAGTTACTGTACCATCAGCAAACTATAAATGTGAGAAAACCAAACCATTAGGACCAATGAATGCAAACTATAGTGCTCCAATCCTGATAGTAATTTAGAAGAAATGTGAGTTACTAATAGATAAATTCTTATTATAAATTTCATTAATTTATTATTATTTTCATCACATAGCCTATTTTTGTGAGATTATTGTTATTACTAATGATGTATAATTTGTTCATAGTATGTTAACTTTATTGCAGTTATTATCCTTGATAATAATTTTAAGAGATGAAAAAGAGATAATGAATTGACATTGGGTTTAGCTGACTAAAACATTAACCTATTTGAGAATGAGCTTCTTAAACCCTTATATAGACCTGAAAATTCGATGAAGGGTTGAGATTGTATCAAATGTTAATCATCCCTTTATATAGACCTCAAGATACAATGAAGGGTTGAGATTGCATTAAATGTCAATCATCTAAGTAGAGAGTTGTAAAACGCACCCAATAAGCCCCTCACCTCCTTACAAGAATTATGTAAATTTCACTCTAAAATACTCTATACAAATATCTTAGATATTTAAAAGTCTATATATGAGTTTTATAGAGTCTTCCGGAATATTTCATACTTCTTTTCATATTGTTGGCTCAAGAGAAAAATTTTCCATACAAAATTTTGCAGGTTATATCACACTCACCCCAATTAAGCTACATCACATCTTCTTTTGGAACTTCCGTATTTACTCGGTGAATAATTTTATATATTCTAAAAATTTTATTAAAAATATAAGAGGCTCAATGTCATTGGTTGTTGTAGGAGAGGGTTCAAGAACACCGTTGGAAAATTCGAAGATCTTCGAAGATCCTTGAAGAACAATTTCGAAGTCTCTAGAAAATGATGAGAGGCTTAGATTCTTCAATAGTCTCAACTCAAGAACACAAGAGTAAAGGAGATGATGGAGATAAGAGATTGAGTGAAGAAGAAGGCAAAATAGCTAGAGAGAGAATAATGGCAAGGCTCTCCCATGGATCTCCCACTTTCACTCTCAAGGTTGATAATGGAGAAGGAAAATTAGTTCTTTCCCAAGAGTCATCTCTCCAAAATCCATCCCTTGTAAAGCTATGGGTGGGTGCTATTTATAGACACCTCATGATGTAGGATGGAGCCCATGTGCAAGGCACATGGGGAATATTCTCTCTAACTACCTTGTCCGAGGGGGTGACATCTCCGCGGATGAGAAGAACCCCGAAGAGGAGATCAACCCCTCGGCGAACCCTTCTTCTTAGCCACACCTAACCAATGATCCCCAATCATCCCAAAAGGTCAGGGGTAGTCCCAGAGGACGTCCTGCCGCATAAGGGTCAGGGGTAGTTCAAGAGAACGCCCTGCCGCAAATATTGCCGAGTCTCAGGGACCCCCCTAGATCGTGCCACCTGGACCCGGGTATAGGCTAGTTTAACCGAAGAGTGAATTTATCTCCACTCACCGTCCTCGGGATCGGGTCCTTTGTTCGAACTCCATTACGCCCATGGTTCTGATGCGTAGACCCCGGAAAGCCCCGAGCCCGCAAGTGTTCTGGGACTCATTAACGGAGCGACTTCTAGATTGCGTTTGAATCCATTCGAAGCCAAGTGCTTCGGATCTCTAGGTTCGTGGATCCGAACCCTTTCGAGTCCGAGTGCCTCGGATCTCTAGCATTGTTCAATATCCTTTCGAGTCCGGGCTCGAGTAAGTCTATAAGTCTCTAAGTTCGTGGATCCGAACCCCTTCGAGGCTTAGAACGATTTAGCCCGTTTGATGGCGATAAATCCGGGCCCACCAATCTTGAACTTGCGATAAATTCGGGCCCACCAATCTTGGACTATTGGGCCTAACTAATTTAATGGGCTCAAATTAGCTCCTCTTACAGTTGTCAAAAAATCAATGATATTTGGATATTTATGTTTTTAATAAAATTGTTAGTAAGAATTTAAGTAGATGTAGTATTAGTCTTACTCGGCTCCCATCTAGTCTTAGACTCTTAGGTAGAGTTAGGTTTCGAGTTTTATTTTGTATGGTCCATGTGATAGAATTTAGTTTACGTGTCAAAACTTTACGAGTCAAAATATTGTTTTAATTTTGGTAACACAAATTTTGTATTATTTTTAATTCCATTTTTCAAAAAATAAACTTCCATTTTGGTTGGTTATGGTTTATATATAGACTCAATTTGTCATCAAATAATTTTACATAAATATTGAAGGTGAAAGGCTTTAATTAAAGAGAAATCATAAATGTTATAATTTGTTCACCATCATACTTGTGGGCCAATCTCTTCATAAATGTCTATTTACACTATCAATTTGTTTATCTCATGCATTAAAAAAAAAAAAAAAATTTATTTATAAATCTTATTTGGAAGACTTGTGCAACATATTGTCCTAGAAAAAACTTATATTGCTATAAGTCTTGTGAATTTTATTGTTGACGCATTTACCCCCATATTATTATTTAATAACTTGATTAATGGTAATACATATATGAGAAATCCAATATTACTATAGATTGTGATCGTATCTATGTAATTATGAATTTGAATTTTAAAATTTGCTGATCACTCCTTTGATGAAGCTACCTTTTAGTAAACAAAATATAGGTGATATCTTATATTTCATTAGCCTATTGAAAAGGGGAAGCTTCATTACGAAGGAGTGTTACAGGACCACCGAAAAACATTACCAGTGCGAGTCGACAGCGAGGTGCGATGGAACGTTGGGCCGTGGGTTGCATCTCCGGTGAATAGACAACAAGTGATGGCATGGGAACGTAAGTTTTGACTTTTTCCCCCATTTTATGGAGTCCGGATCATCTCCAGCCATCCCTCCGGTCAACGGTCAAGATTTAGCCACGTCACCCCACTTAAAATCTGTGGCTAAGATTAGTTTAAAAAAAAAAAAACTCATTTACATCCTACCACTCACTCACACTCAATCACTCACGTTTTCGCTCTCTCTCTAACATCCCACCACTCTTTCTCTCTCTCTCTCTCTAACATCCCTCTCTCTCTCTCTCTCACACATTTCTAATAAAAAATTAAAAAATTATTTTAATCCTTTTATTTTATTTTCATAATATATATAATTTTTAATATAAAATTTAACTTTATAAATTTAATATCATTAAAAATATACCTTTAAAATAAGACTAATATTAAATATATTTAATAAAAATCTAAAATAAATATAAAAAAAAGGTGTATTTGGTTTGCATGGATACACAGATTCAATTTGTGTTTTATTTGATTTGTACCTATGCATAGATTAAATTTCTGTATATTTTATTTCTTTTAAAAAAAATTATTAACTTGTTTAGTTAATAAATTAAGTTAAAATTCATTATTTTCATATGATTATCTTGTGAAAATAATGACTTTTAATTTAATTTTGTTAACCAAACAAGTTTATAATCATATGAAAATATCAAAAACAATACCAACAATTCAGATTAAAACGAAGCCCTCGACTCACACACTCTTTTTAATGAAGGATCTAGGGTAGAAACACACCCTAAGAAGATCAATCCTAAGAGAGAAGGTGTGTATAGGGAGAGAAAACTCGTAACTAGGGTTTTGGAATATGAAAGTGTAAGAAAAACAGATCTGAAACACGCTGCTGCCTATTTAAACCTGACAGGCTCGCTCGAGCGACCAGACACAGAAAAACTACGCTCGAGCCAAGGAAGCCTTGCTCGAGCCAACAACCCAAAAGCTCGCTCGAGCGAAAGAAATCTAGATCGAGCAAAGAACTCAAACCCTCAGGTCTGTAACCAGACACACGCTCGAGCGAAGGAACTATTGCTCGAGCGAAGAACAAACTAACTCGCTCGAGCGAAGAAAATCTCGCTCGAGCCAAGAATGCAGAGCTACAGGTCAATACTGGACGCCATCTCTCGCTCGAGCGACCAACTCCTCGCTCGAGCGAAGAACCAAAATCCTGGACAGCAACACTTGGTTTCTAAACCCAACCAACCTGAAACAAACCTGCCCAACACATCCTATAATTCCAAATGAGAAAATAAAGGACAACAACAACAATTATACAATGACAGAATCTACGGAACCTGAGTCCGGATACAATAATCAAATGAGAAAAGACCGGGGTCGCTATATATATAGACTCAATTTGTCATCAAATAATTTTACATAAATATTATAGGTGAAAGGCTTTAATTAAAGAAAAATCATAAATGTTATGGTTTCAAAATTTGTTCACCATCATACTTGTGGGCCAATCTCTTCATAAACGACTATTTACACTATCAATTTGTTTATCTCATGCATTAAAAAAAAAAAATATTTATAAATCCTATTTGGAAGACTTGTGCAACATATTGTCCTAGAAAAAACTTATGTTGCTATAAGTCTTGTGAATTTCTTGTTGACGCATTTACCCCCATATTATTATTTAATAACTTGATTAATGGTAATACATATATGAGAAATCCAATATTACTATAGATTGTGATCGTATCTATGTAATTATGAATTTGAATTTTAAAATTTGCTGATCACTCCTTTGATGAAGCTACCTTTTAGTAAACAAAATATAGGTGATATCTTATATTTCATTAGCCTATTGAAAAGGGGAAGCTTCATTACGAAGGAGTGTTACAGGACCACCGAAAAACATTACCAGTGCGAGTCGACAGCGAGGTGCGATGGAACGTTGGGCCGTGGGTTGCATCTCCGGTGAATAGACAACAAGTGATGGCATGGGAACGTAAGTTTTGACTTTTTCCCCCATTTTATGGAGTCCGGATCATCTCCAGCCATCCCTCCGGTCAACGGTCAAGATTTAGCCACGTCACCCCACTTAAAATCTGTGGCTAAGATTAGTTTAAAAAAAAAAAAACTCATTTACATCCTACCACTCACTCACACTCACACTCAATCACTCACGTTTTCTTTCTCTCTCTCTCTCTCTCTCACATCCTACCACTCTCCCTCTCTCTTTGACATCCCACACTCACACTCACACTCACACTCACACTCAAACACATAGGGATGTCAATGGATAACCTGTGGGTATCCATGGAGACCCAACCCAAATATTTTTTAAATATCCACAGAGGATGGGTTGGGGATGGGTACCCACTAATTTCCCTATATATATATATTTTTTTTAAGATTCACAACCAAAACTAAATACACATTCAATATTTTTTCTTTTTTATTTATTTATTTATTTTTTCAGGTTCACAACCATTTTTTTTTTAAGATCCACAACCAAAGCTAAATATACCTCCAATAATAAAATTAAATTAAAAATTATTATTTTCATATGATTTTTTTTAGAATGAAGATTGTTTTTGATATTTTCATATGATTATAAACTTGTTTGGTTAACAAAATTAAATTAAAAGTCATTATTTTCACAATATAATCATATGAAAATAATGAATTTTAACTTAATTTTATTAACTAAACAAGTTAATAATTTTTTTTAAAAGAAATAAAATATACAGAAATTCAATCTATGCATAGGTACAAATCAAATAAAACACAAATTGAATCTGTGTATCCATGCAAACCAAATACACCTTTTTTTTATATTTATTTTAGATTTTTATTAAATATATTTAATATTAGTCTTATTTTAAAGGTATATCTTACGAAAACATTTACGAAAATTTTATATCTTATGAAAATAAAATAAAAAGGATTAAAATAGTTTTTTAATTTTTTATTTGAAATGAGAGAGAGAGAGAGAGATGGAATGTGAGAGAGAGAGCGTGGTGGGATGTCAGAGAGAGAGAGAGAAAACGTGAGTGATTGAGTGTGTGTGAGTGGTGAGAAGTTAATGGTTTTTTTTTATTTATTTTAGCTAATCTTAGCCACAGATTTTGAGTGGGGTGACGTGGCTAAATCTTGACCGTTGACCGAAAGGATGACTGGAGAGAAGAACTGGAGAGGATCCAGACTCTGTTTTATGATTGATTTGTTATGTAACATATATACGTATATTTATATAAATATTAGAATTTGAAATTAGACCAACTATAATAATATGATAGATATATATCAGTTGGTAAGAAAGATTTGTAAAACTTATTAGTTTGTATGACATTACTCTATTGTAATAATGCTTGTAATAATGCTTGTGATAATATAGAAACTATTCCCAAGAATCCATATAGGCAAACACACCTTAAAGTAGTGTTCAACTTCTTTGAATCCCATTTTGGCAAGTATAGTTACACAGATTCCAAGTAGTTTGAGATCCAAATTGGCTTGAAAGAACTAATTAATGTATACTATTTAGAATAATGTTTTAGAGCACTAAATTGGGAGCTCTAGAGCATCACTAATGATGTGGCACAGTGGCCCCCACCAAAGTGATGTGATGTTTTAGCTTGAAGTTTTTTTTTTTTTTTTTTTTTAAGCTCATTAGAGCTATTAGTGGTCCAAAAATTAGTGGGATGAATCATCCCTCTACTATTTATTAGTGTGTGAAACCATTTAAAATATGTTGTGTTTGCAAGAACACTTCATTACTTTATTCCTCATTGTGCCGAAGAAAAACCATAAATAAACCTTGACAAGACAAAACAGGAAAAACTAAATTACAAATACAAGAGAAAACAAACAACGACAACAACCACAACAACAACTAAAAACATCAACCACGGCATTGCCCTCTTGAGTTACTTAGGGCAACCCGGTTTCAGGGTTAAGGAGAGCTTGGCCTTCATCAGACAGCAAAACAGGACCTTTTCCGGGTCTTGTGCAGATGAAGTAACTGACATCCCCTTTGTATTTCTGGGCAATGTCATCCTTAGTTTCTGGAGGTGGGGACAAAGCTTCCACATCTTTCATGTCCTGAATCCCGACATCTTGCAATATTGACGTATCACCAATAACATAACTGGACAAAGTGAAAAGAGAAACAGAAAAACAATCAGAGAACTAGTCTGTGTGTGGGAGTGCCATTGGAGTCGAAAACCTCTTGAAAACCTCTTCAAGATTGCACTTAATTCCATTTCATATACAACTTTTTTTCAGCGATAATAAAATAAGAATTAAAATTACAAGATAACTTGTGAACTTTTTTAACACTAAATACCTCTTCAGATCGGTATCTGGATGTGGAGGGAAGTGGAAAAACAGCCTCTGAAGCAAAAGGGCTGCAACCTTTCTGTTTTGTGCAAATAGAACTACATTTGGCCCCGCATCACAAGTATAAGCTACCTGTCAAAAGCTCAAAATTATTCAAACTTCTTGAAAAAATAATGACTTTTTAGTGCATTTGGCGAACCAGTCTGAAGCTAAAACAATAATGATTTTTTTTTCTTCCCTTTTTTGAAACAAATATACTGGAGATTACCAAAAACAGATTTCATTGACGAACACTACAGCTAAAAAGAGAAGTAATATGCTCTATTTGACACACTAATCAGAGAGTTCTATTCTATGTTTCCTTTTGAGGGGGTGTAAATTGTAACAGAGGAACATAGTTTAATTTTTGCATGAAATTTTCTTGAACTGACATTATTCATCACAGCTACTAAAATGCTATCCTTGTCGATTGTGTTTTATGCAGTGTTGGGTAGAAATTTAATTACATCGAACCACCACTGGTTTGTTAAATAGAGGGTCCAATCAATGTTCAAAGTCTTTGAGAGAGAGAGAGAATGAATATCATGTTCAGAATTTACCCAAATTAAGGAATCTCATGTTCAATAAAACTACTTTTTGCAAAGCCTCAATTTATTTATATGTGATTGCAGCAGAATTACCATTACAGTAAGTGTACGGAATTTTAGATCTGAAAAAAATTATAAAACAAATAAACTGTAGAAGAATGTTCATGTTCAAATTTTGATTCGCATAGCAAACTTTTCACACATTGACGGGTTAACAAAGCAGTGAAATACATATCTTGAAACATTAACCAGTTGTTATCATAGCAGCCACAAACCTGGGGTGATCCTTCAGAATGATTCCAGTTCTCGACACAAGTAATTATCCTGAAACATTAACCGTTTGTTAAAATTAGAATTGGATTTTTTTTATGATGCTTCTAAAGTTTAAAAAAAAAGAAAAAGAAAAAGAGAGAGAGAGAGAGAGAGAGAGAGAGAGAGAGAAGATATTATGCCACCTAAAGTTCAAGATAAGAAAAAAATACAGGACTTGCCTATGGGATGTGTCGTTCATGTAGAATAAAGGGGGACTTGTATCTAGGCAGACTGCATGAAACTGATTACTTTCAGCACATGTCAAACGTGCAAAAGATTGAAAATCACGATTTTTTATGGCTTCTTCCATTTCAACAATGCGTTTTGGTACTACTTCCTGCTCCAGAACAAGGATGCAAAAATATACCAAGATAACTGCCAACATTCTTTGAAAATTTCATCTATAATAATTTTATAAAAAAAAAAAAATGGAAAAGGAAAAGAGACCATAAAATCATAATGCATTATCAGGTTGAACAATATAACTGAAAAAATCTAGAATCATGTAAAACCCATAAGCTCGGGCTATTGCAAGGACTTCTCTATGGAAAATCTAAGGAGAATAATTCAAGTGTCATTGAGAGGTCAGAGGACCACGAAATACCTTTGCTCGATACTGTATGAGCGTACTTGTTTCAACGCTCTCACGCATTCCTCTGGTGCTACTAGTTTCCTTCTGTCGAGAACTTACCTGAATCAACAGAAGCACCATTTGGTTACAAAATCAAAAAAGGTTTGAGGGGAAAAAAAAATAAAAAAAATAAAAAAAACCCTCATCTAAGAACATCTCCAATACTTCATCAAACTTAAATTTGATCAAAATTATGGTGAAAATGAAATCAAATCCTTTCATCAAACTTGCATCAAATAAGGCATGAATAAAATCTTTCACCAAATTCTTCGCTACTCTTTTTTCACTCAAGTTGGATGAAACTAAAAGACGAAGAATTGGAGATTTCTTTTTCACCTGCTAGGAACATGACACAAGAAATTATAATTATCTTGAACCTAATAAAAATAATTACGCCTTGCAACAATTTGTCTGAAAGATTAGTTTGAGAGAGAAGCTAGAGAGCAGAGAGTGAGAGAAGCTAGAGAGCAAGATGTTTCTGTATTGTATGTTTCTTAATTACAAAGAGTAATGAACTCTCTCTTTATAGAGAGAAGAAAGGTACATTGGATACCAAATGATCCACTACCACCGAAAGCATAAAGGAAAAGAGAAAGCTATACAATTATATTAAAGCTAAAGGTATTCAATGAACAATTATATACTAATTAACAATTATATTAACAACCCCCCGCAAACTCAAGGAGGGAAAGCATCAACCAAGTTAAGTTTGGAAACAAGATCATTAAAGCGGCCAGGAGGATGAGCCTTAGTGAAGATATCAGCGGGTTGAGCGACTGAAGCAATAGGAAGAAGATGAACCGTTCCACAAGTAACATGCTGGCGAATGAAATGACAATCAATCTCAATATGTTTGGTGCGATCATGAAAAACATCATTGTGAGCAATCTGAATAGCACTCCGATTGTCACAGTAGAGAGGAGTAGGAGTAGATGAAGAAACTCCCATATCAGCAAGGAGCCAGCGAAGCCAGAGAAGTTCCTGAGTAGTATCAGCAAGAGCTCGGTATTCAGCTTCGGTGCTAGAGCGGGCAGTGAGAGATTGTTTTTTGCTACGCCAAGCAAGAAGAGAATCCCCTAAGAAGAAGCAGAATCCCGTGGTGGAGCGTCGATCCGTAGGATCCCCAGCCCAATCAGCATCGGAAAAGGCACGTAGGTCAAGAGAGGAAGAAGCCGAGAAGTGAAGACCATGGAACAAAGTGCCTTTGAGGTAGCGAAGGATACGGAGTAGAGCAGTATAGTGGGGAGTGCGAGGAGCCGACATGTACTGACTGACAATGTGAACAGCATAGGCAATGTCAGGACGAGTGACTGTGAGATAGACAAGACTGCCGACGAGCTGGCGATAAAGAGTAGCATCAGAGAGAAGAGTCCCATCGAGAGGAGTGAGACGAATCTGAGGATCAATCGGAGTAGAGGCAGTTTTGCAATCAGTAAGACCAGCACGAGCCAGAAGATCGGATGCATATTTGGCCTGGGACAAATAGGAACCAGTAGAATCATGAGAGACTTCAAGGCCTAAGAAGTAGTTAAGAGTACCAAGGTCCTTCATCTCAAATTGTTGGTGGAGAAATTGTTTGAGGTGGAGAATACCAGCTATAGTATAATATGCACCATTATTTGGAAAATCACAATACAATTCTACTTTCTTAAAATTATTACATACTAACATTATTTATTAAAGTTAATAAAATTTACTATCCATCTAAAATTATTTATTAAATAAAATTGACGATCTCATCACGTACAATGATTTGCACTTACTTAATTAAAGAGATTTAAATTTTAATTGTCAATTATTCTAATTTAATCTGAGATTTATGAAATTATGGGGATTGATTCATACATGACTCTATTGAGGATTTATTTTGAAATTAGAAATTAAAAGTCTAAATGGCTCAAGAAAGTACAAATGGTGAATTGAATTATTTTAATTTCGAGTATCAGACCATACAGGAATTTAATTAAATATTCAATTCAGATTTATAAAATTAAGATTTAGTTAATTGGGTCCGAATTGGAGTTAATTTAGTTATGAGGATTTCAGAATTAAGGTTATTATAAATTAAGTTTATTTATGAGGTGTTCAATTGAATATATAATTTATTGACGAAAATCTTGAGTTAATCTGAAATTGTAGGCCTTAATAATGTGAGGAGCTAAAATTGATGATGGAAATAAGTTTAATTTAATATTTGGAGCCTTTTGGGAGTTTGATTAAAAATCTGATTCAGAATGATAAAATTAAATATAATTAAGGGCAAATTATGAAAATAGTTTCTATACTTTACACGATGTGTCAATTTGGTCCCTGTAGTTTCAATTTGCTCGATTTTGCCCCTTAATTTAATGGATTGTGCCATTTTAGTCCAATAAATAACAGTTGTTAAGTTAATTTAACAAAAAATCAAACAATGTATCAATTTGGTCCCTGTATTTTTCACAATGTGTCAATTTAGTACCTGTCAAAATTGAGAAAATTAAAACTATAGGGACTAGATTGACACATTATTTGACCATCCGTTAAATTAACATAACAGCCATTATTTATTGGACTAAAATGACACAATCTGTTAAATTAAGGAGCAAAATCGAGCAAATTGAAACTACAGGGACTAAATTGACACATCGTATAAAGTATAGAAACTATTTACATAATTTACCCTATAATTAATTAGGCTGTAACAGAAGTCAAAATTAGACTGATTAAATTATATGAAATTTTTGATTAATTAAGATTAATTAGTTAAAAGTAAATAGAGTTTCATTAAGTTAATACGTGAATTAGTAATAAAGTTAATTCTAGGAAAATTTACCCATAAGTCCTAGTTTTTGAAACGTTGAACCATTTAGTCCTAAAAGTTTTTTAATGTTTCATTTAGTCCCATTTTTACATCAACATGATGTGAATGATGTAAATGATCTGATGTTTCATTCTATAATTTCAAAATTTATTGAAATCTGATGAATATTAGATGTTTTTCATCCTATATTTTCAAATATTATTGAAATTTGATAAACATTAGATGTTTGAAATCCAATGTTTGTAACATGACTCTGATGTTATTAACATTGTATCTGATGTTATTAACATTGTAATGGGACCTTTCAGTCTATAAGAAAACTTTTAGGGCTAAACAGTGCATAAGTTATTAATTTGAGATTTATTGGTGCATCCCCCTTTTATTAACCAAACAAGTTAATAATTTTTTTTAAAAGAAATAAAATATACAGAAATTCAATCTATGCATAGGTACAAATTAAATAAAACACAAATTGAATCTGTGTATCCATGTAAACCAAATACACCTTTTTTTTTATTTATTTTAGATTTTTATTAAATATATTTAATAGTAGTCTGATTTTAAAGGTATATCTTATGAAAATATTTATGAAAATTTTATATCTTATGAAAAAAAAATAAAAAGGATTAAAATAGTTTTTTAATTTTTTATTTGAAATGAGAGAGAGAGAGATGGGATGTCAGAGAGAGAGAGAGAGAAAACGTGAGTGATTGAGTGTGTGAGAGTGTGAGAAGTTAATGGTTCTTTTTATATTTATTTTAGCTAATCTTAGCCACAGATTTTGAATGGGGTGACGTGGCTAAATCTTGACCGTTGACCGGAGGGATGGCTGGAGAGAAGAGTTGGAGAGGATCCGGACTCCATTTTATGATTGATTTGTTATGTAACATATATACGTATATTTATATAAATATTAGAATTTGAAATTGGACCAACTATAATAATATGATAGATATATATCAGTTGGTAAGAAAGATTTGTAAAACTTATTAGTTTGTATGACATTACTCTATTGTAATAATGCTTATAATAATGCTTGTGATAATATAGAAACTATTCCCAAGAATCCATATAGGCAAACACACCTTAAAGTAGTGTTCAACTTCTTTGAATCCCATTTTGGCAAGTATAGTTACACAGATGTTCCAAGTAGTTTGAGATCCAAAGTGGTTTGAAAGAACTAATTAATGTATACTATTTATTGGTGTGTGAAACCATTAAAATATGTTGTGTTTGCAAGAACATTTCATTACTTTATTCCTCATTGTGCCGAAGAAAAACCATACATAAACCTTGACAAGACAAAACAGGAAAAACTAAATTACAAATACAAGAGAAAACAAACAACAACCACAACAACAACTAAAAACATCAACCACCGCATTGCCCTCTTGAGTTACTTAGGGCAACCCGGTTTCAGGGTTAAGGAGAGCTTGGCCTTCATCAGACAGCAAAACAGGACCTTTTCCGGGTCTTGTGCAGATGAAGTAACTGACATCCCCTTTGTATTTCTGGGCAATGTCATCCTTAGTTTCTGGAGGTGGGGACAAAGCTTCCACATCTTTCATGTCCTGAATCCCGACATCTTGCAATATTGACGTATCACCAATAACATAACTGGACAAAGTGAAAAGAGAAACAGAAAAACAATCAGAGAACTAGTCTGTGTGTGGGAGTGCCATTGGAGTCGAAAACCTCTTGAAAACCTCTTCAAGATTGCACTTAATTCCATTTCATATACAACTTTTTTTCAGCGATACTAAAATAAGAATTAAAATTACAAGATAAAGTCTAACTTGTGAACTTTTTTAACACTAAATACCTCTTCAGATCGGTATCTGGATGTGGAGGGAAGTGGAAAAACAGCCTCTGAAGCAAAAGGGCTGCAACCTTTCTGTTTTGTGCAAATAGAACTACATTTGGCCCCGCATCACAAGTATAAGCTACCTGTCAAAAGCTCAAAATTATTCGGACTTCTTGAAAAAATAATGACTTTTTAGTACATTCGGCGAACCAGTCCGAAGCTAAAACAATAATGATTTTTTTTTCTTCCCTTTTTTGAAACAAATATACTAGAGATTACCAAAAACAGATTTCATCGACGAACACTACAGCTAAAAAGAGAAGTAGTATGCTCAATTTGACACACTAATCAGAGAGTTCTATTCTATGTTTCCTTTTGAGGGGGTGTAAATTGTAACAGAGGAACATAGTTTAATTTTTGCGTGAAATTTTCTTGAACTGACATTATTCATCACAGCTACTAAAATGCTATCCTTGTCGATTGTGTTTTATGTAGTGTTGGGTAGAAATTTAATTACATCGAACCACCACTGGTTTGTTAAATAGAGGGTCCAATCAAAGTTCAAAGTCTTTGAGAGAGAGAGAGAATGAATATCATGTTCAGAATTTACCCAAATTAAGGAATCTCATGTTCAATAAAACTACTTATTGCAAAGCCTCAATTTATTTATATGTGATTGCAGCAGAATTACCATTACAGTAAGCTTACGAAATTTTAGATTTGAAAAAAATTATAATAACAAATAAACTGTAGAAGAATGTTCATGTTCAAATTTTGATTCGCATAGCAAACTTTTCACACATTGACGGGTTAGCAAAGCAGTGAAATACATATCTTGAAACATTAACCGGTTGTTATCATAGCAACCACAAACCTGGGGTGATCCTTCTGAATGATTCCAGTTCTCGACACAAGTATTATCCTGAAACAAGAACATAGTTTGAACCATTTAAAATGACGGAAATGGGATGGGAGGCATCATGACGATCCATAATACTAGTTGAGTAGGGTTAAAGTAATAGAAATAGATCCGTAGGAGCAAAATTAGGTAAAACAGAGTGTACCAGTGAGTCCAGAAAGTCGAAAATAGCAAGGAAAGGTATGCTGGACAGAGATGATGTCAGCAATGATGTCAGCGGCGCACGTTAGCAGAGTGCAGGGAGGAGCACGTTAGCAGGAAAGCAACGGCGCACGTTAGCAGACAGCGTAGGCGCGGCGCACGGTAGCTGGTTTGGCGCACGCGGGTGCACACTAGCAAAGCGGCGCACGATACGCGTACGGTAGCAGGCGCGGCGTATGGGAGCCGCGGACGTGTGGGCGCGTGTGGGCGCGTGGCGGAAGTGAGCGACAGGAGTTGGCGCGTGTGGGCGCGTGTGAGAGTAGTGGCGGACGTGTTGACGCGCAGAGGCTAAGGGCGGCGCGTGTGGGCGCGTGTTGGCTTTTCTGAGAACGGGCTTGGTGCCGTTGGACTCAGGAGAAAATTTCGAACAGGTTGATGTGCTCTGATACCATGAAAGATTAGTTTGAGAGAGAAGCTAGAGAGCAGAGAGTGAGAGAAGCTAGAGAGCAAGATGTTTCTGTATTGTATGTTTCTTAATTACAAAGAGTAATGAACTCTCTCTTTATAGAGAGAAGAAAGGTACATTGGATACCAAATGATCCACTACCACCGAAAGCATAAAGGAAAAGAGAAAGCTATACAATTATATTAAAGCTAAAGGTATTCAATGAACAATTATATACTAATTAACAATTATATTAACAGTTTCAACTTTCACGGTAGGACATTTAAACCAAAGACCCTCCCTGCTAGGAATTCTATGAACAGTCGTTCTCGCCACAAAATAAGAAAAAAAAAAGGGAAGATTTTCACTGATAAAAAACCAGTCACCTTAGTTTTCAAACAAAAGAATGTACATACCACTGGAATAACAATAAGAAGATCATCCCAGTGCTTCTCGTCTGCAAGTTGAACAGCAAAGCTGTCGCTTCCATCGTCATTCTTGACACATCAAGGAAAAGAAGAGTCAGAATAATTGTTCAAAAGCTAGATGCCAAACATATACCTTAGAAATTAGGGAAAATTACAAATCAGTGGTGGTTTCATAAAATATTTATAAATTCATGGAATAGTTTATAATTTTAATTGCAATTTTCCCTAGAAATTAAACTTACTTTTCCCATGAACCACTTGACAACTCCACCATACAAACTGCGACACACACTACCTGAACCTTGCCTGTATATGAGTTAAAAAACATTAGGAAAGGCTACCATTATCTACTTGCATCCATGTATCCTGATATATGAGAAACTAGACAAATTAAAGGAAAATATAAAATCAAATGGTGAAGAAGAAAATCACAATCCCAGATATAGACTGCGAGATATTAAACCTTGACGAAACCCTCTAACAACAATAACATAAAGCAGTAAAGTGAGAATCAGTAATAAAAAAAGACTAATGTAAGAGCATGCACTAGATTGTTTGGAAAACATGAAGGCAAGACACATCAGTCAGACCAAACCATTAACACATGATACACATCAACTAATATATAAATACCTTGCTATAGCAGAAAGTTTTCCATTATCTTCTTTCAGATTCATTAGCTTTGCAAGGGCAAAAACTGCAAATGAAAATATAATGTGTTTGGTTAGCCTCTCTAAATATATTTCCACCCCATGTTTTGTTGGAAATGGTTGGAAAATTCTGGGTAAAACCAGAATTTTTTCCTAAGTTTGGTCTATTTTTTAGGTAGGCCCCGTGCATCGATTTTCGTGGGTCAAAGTGGTAACGCGTTCTATGCCGCATTGTGATTCACGTGGTATATTTGGTTGCTCAAAACCAATACCGAGTGAATGGGAAATTGAAGCCATAGTATGCTCCATGGAAATGGAGTTTTGATGAAAAATCCTTAAAGGTTTGAATAAGGTTTGTCCCACGTTGATTTGGTGAGAAGTTTTGAGTGGGTTTATAAGGCATGCGATTGGAATTTGGGTTGTGCCCCAAGGGGTACCCAAGTGTTTTAGAGAGGGAGGTTATGGGCTAGACCCATTGGACTCAAAAATCAACACACGCGCGCTGCCGTCCGGTTGGGCGGGCTGGGCTTGGGTGTGTGGTTGGGTTGGGCTTGTTCGGCCCAATACCTATCTTTTTGGACCAAAAACATTTGATTTTAATTTTATTTTTTGGTAAAATAAAATCCAGAATTCAACATAAACCGGAAATAAACTGGTCCGGTTTTTTGCTGTACACCCAATAGGTCCCTTCCGGTTTTTGAACCCAACAGATTTAAATCTATTTAAATTCAAAAACGAACAGTTTTCAACCTGTCCAAATAGTGCCTATCTGTTTAAATTGAACAGGTTTTGCACCTGTTTAATTCAAAACGGTCAAAGTGGTAACGCGTTCTATGCCGCATTGTGATTCACGTGGTATATTTGGTTGCTCAAAACCAATACCGAGTGAATGGGAAATTGAAGCCATAGTATGCTGCATGGAAATGGAGTTTTGGTGGAAAATCCTTAAAGGTTTGAATAAGACTTATCCCACGTTGATTTGGTGAGAAGTTTTGAGTGGGTTTATAAGGCATGCGATTGGAATTTGGGTTGTGCCCCAAGGGGTACCTAAGTGTTTTAGAGAGGGAGGTTATGGGCTAGACCCATTGGACCCAAAAATTAACACACGCGTGCTGCCGTCCGGTTGGGCGGGCTGGGCTTGGGTGTGTGGTTAGGTTGGGCTTGTTCGGCCCAATATCTATCTTTTTGGACCAAAAACATTTGATTTTAATTTTATTTTTTGGTAAAATAAAATCCAGAATTCAACTTAAACCAGAAATAAACTGGTCCGATTTTTTGCTGTATACCCAAATAGGTCCCTTCCGTTTTTTGAACCCAACAGATTTAAATCTGTTTAAATTCAAAACCGAACAGTTTTCAACCTGTCCAAATAGTGCCTATCTGTTTAAATTGAACAGGTTTTGCACCTGTTTAATTCAAAACTAACAGCCACAATTTTGCCTATAAATAGACTAGCCCCCTATTTGGATTACTACTTCAATTTTCGTACTTCATCTTCTGCTATAAATCTCTGCATTTTGCTGCATTTAATTTCTAAAAGAAAGAGTGTAAACACTTAGTGTGTTCGTTAGGCAAACAATTTGTAGTGCTACTATTGTTTGTAGTTGATCATTTCATCCTGGGAGATAGACGTCCACATTCTGAAAGTACCGTGGAGATGACGAATCTGTCTTAAGGACACAGTGTCAAACACTGGACTTGATCAGATATTTATTAGAAGAAATTAATCAAGTAAGTTGTTTAATTTATTATTCTGGTTTTATTTGTTTATTAAATCAGATTTAATTTTGTTTTTGTAACAAAATAAAATCTGTTTTTATTTATTTATTTATTTATTTCTAGTTTGATTTTTGTAATCAAACAAATTCTCTCATTTCCTTTATTTTTTTATATTCTTGTTGTTGTTTAGTACACAACATAATTTAATCTATTTAAATACAGTGAAGATTGTCTAACATGTTTTGCACATGCCGTTGGTTTAGAGTTTTCAAAATGTAATTCCACAATCAGTTTTGAAAACTCTGTCAAAGGCGGGAAAATTTGGACTAACCGGTCGTCCGGCCGGTTGACCGGAACAGTGCAAATTTTTTTTTTCTTTTTTTTTTTTGCAATTAACATATGTTAATTTTTATATATTCGAAAAAAATATTTTCCGAAATTTTAAATTTTTTTTATGTGTTTTAATAGAATTTTGAGTTATGAGTTGTAAATTTTTGTATCAAATATCATATGTCACATCAAAAATTCTCCATTCAATTCAAAACTCTTTTCAAAACTTTTTCACCAAATAAATTTTCCACACTCAAATCATAATTCCAAAACTCACAAACTCAAAATATAACTCCTACTCTCAAATCATAGTTAGAAAGCTCTATCAAACGCAACCTAATTATCAGTTATACCCATGCAAAATAATTCTGGGTGTAATACGCTAATGATCAGGAAGTAAGCTGTAACAAGAAAGCGGATTTTAAAAAAAATCTTTAAGCAGATGAAAAGAAAATGCACAGATGATTGAAAGTTATAACTATGTGATTCCATCTGCAAAAAGAAAATGCACAAAATGCATTTATATTTTTCAGGAAACTAATATCAACTCTTATAATATAAAGTTTGACAATAGGTTAAAGGCCTTGTAAATTCATCTGGTGGGGGCACAAAAAAATGATTTCAATACAGAAGTGGTCTATCCACCAAAACAAACAAACAGAAAATAACAAAGAATAGTTCTTATAGTCAACCTGTGCAACAACAGCTGTCGGGTAACTTTAACAGTAACCAATCATGTAAAATACAACTATAGACCGATTGGAAATTTTAATCAATTGTATTTGATACTTTTTTCTTAGGAAAAAAATACTAGCAGAATAAATAGGGAAAATTTTTTGGATCGCTTTGGACATTAATTTAGTGTTCGGAACAAAATTGTAATTTGCACCATGTTTTTAATGTGTATTCTAGACGTAAATCGTTAGAGTACTAGTGGATTTTGGTAACCACGAGTAAAACTCTACAGTCTACAAAATCAACAGAACAGATACAAACTGTTCATATCATATATTAATATTTAGCTGTGATAGAACTGTTGGTACAGACGGATTTAAGAAAGAATCTTCTTAATCTGCTTATATTATATGAGATGACTGTTAATTCTGGGGTGGATATATATCCACATAAAAGAAAACATATAAAGATGGTCCCTTACCAAGGCAGGCAAAACCGGAAGCCGAGGAAGCCAAACCAGCAGCAGTAGGGAAATTGTTGTAAGAAGCAATATGCAGATGCAGATTCTCCCAATCTTTTTTAGTGATTTTGATACCCTTTTTCTCATCCTCAACATCACCAGCGCAGGACCGGATTTCCTTTAAGCACCTCTGATATTTATCACCAGAAAGAGAAAACTCCTACGCTAGCCAGCAACAACATACAAAAAGAAATTGATCATATTTACACTGACCTTCCTTTTTTCAAAACTGCCAAGTTTAATGTATTTTATCCTAACTTTCCAATCTCAAGGAGGTAAGTATAATTTATCATTTTTTAAATATTTGCTCTAAATGATTTCAAATATCTTCGGAGGGCGAGTATTAAATTTTTGAATAAATTATAAATAGACCATCTTCTGTTTGATTAAAATAGTAATTGCTCACTTCAAGTTTTCATTCACATAATAAATTATCTATTTTATTAATAAATTAACAATTATTATATTTTTTAACAATATATTTCAATTAACAATACATGAATTTTATTATTAAACAAGAAAATAGTTAGGAATTTCATTTTTTTTTTGGGTATTAGTTCTATTAAATAAATTTTTTTTTGATAAAGGGTACTTATAATTTCTAAAATTACAGGAGTAATCCGTATTTTGAGTAAATTTAAAGGATTACATTTATAATTTATCCTAAATTTTTTAAAGGTGGCAAATCTATATATGTAGGAAGTATATTGTTAACTAATACTATTATATTGAACCCAATCGTTAGTCTAGTGGGTGCAGATTAGGACTTAAGATTGTACTTCTTCTAGGTCTCAAATTTAACTTCCATTAAATACTATCAATTCCTTAGGACACGCCGGCGAACTCTATTCGAGATTTGTCCGATTGAGATAAAAGGAGCCTTTGCATGGATCTCGAAATTATTCTAGTTGGGATACAATAGAGTTAGTTAGGTACCTTGCCATTAAGCCACAAGCGATCTTGAAGAAAAGTAGGACTAACAGAGACTGTGGTGATAGTGGAGAGATGTTGGGGATCAAAAGTGACACTGATACTGTCATTAATGGGTAAAATCAAGGTTTCGTCCCTCTTTCCCCAGTACTTTATCACTGACATATTGGTTGGCGCCTGGGCTGTTACCATCAATACCCATTTCTTCGATTCTTCGTCACCCATTTCAACAAACATACAATACAACGGAGTAGTCCCTGAATGCAAAAATCAAAATCTCTTTTAATCAATTTCGAAATCGATGTTGTAGTGTGACATAAAAAAACTAATGCTGAATCAAAGCATACAATTTTCAATTTTGAGAAAGAAAAAAACAAATGCTGTAAAAACAAACTATCCCTACTAAATAAAACTGCTTGCAGAATTTCACTTTTAAAACCTTCATGATCAACTCTCAAAATTTATAGGAGAGGAAAGGAGGGAAGGGAAAATTATTTGGTGCTCCTGGGTAAATTGAGGTATTATCCTAATTTGATTCTTATTGGTCAAATTATTGGGACCTACTAGTTTTATATATATATATATATATATCCTTTTAAGTTGTATTTGGATCATAGATTTTAACAAGAATTTAGAAAGAGAAAAGAAAATGATAAGTGAAACCGTTAGGAAATAATTATTTTGTTTTTTAAAAATTTTATGTTGGGCATGCGCCCAACTAATAGTAAAAGCTAAATGAATACACGATCTTAATAACAAGAAGATTGTGGACAAATTATAGCGAGATTGGATTCTCTTACGTTGGCCATCGAACTCGAGATAGCATTTGGGTTTGATAAATTTATTTTGGAGCCGGCAGTAGTAACATGGTCACGAGTCAGGTGTGAAACGATTTTATAGTAATCTACTCCTACTCCGTATCATATTGAGTGTAGGGTAAATCGGTGGATGGCGGGTGCGTGTCAGGAGATGAGTTAATTTTGTAAGTTGAAGAATAAGAATATTAATAAGAATTATTGATAATATAGTATATTACGGATAATGATTTATACTTAATCAAAATTATAAAATATAAAAATAAAATAAATCACCAAAAAATTAATATTGAGTATAATATTTTAGTGTTTTAATTTTATTATAATAAAAAAATTAACTATATATGTATAAATATATTTAATAAATATAATCGGGGCAGGGGAAAGCACATCCCGGCCCCACTCCCTAGTTGGAGTGGGGAAAATTAGTGCAGAGTGGAGTGAGAAGGGGGAAAATGACGATTCTTGGGCCTCGTTGATTCAAATGGTTTATTTTTTAGAACTCTTTAAATAGATTATTTATGCAAAAAATTAATATGATCCCATATCGGTAGCTATATGTTTGAATGATATTTGTTTAAAAAAAAAATGGACGGCAATTTTAATTTCAAGAATAACTTTTTGTAATACAAATATAATTTAAATATATAGTTACAAATGTCTGATCATCTTAATTTTTTGCATGAATATTCTTCATAACGAATACTAAAATATGAATTATTTAGATCACCGAAGTGAGCCTCAAAATGAACTTACTATGCTCAAATACTCTCTCAAGTTAAAATTACTAATTTAAAAAAATTTGAACCTAATTATAATATATCATTAAATTTTTTATTCAAGTCTTTATAATTCAGTCAACCCCTTAGGATATAGTAACCATCATAACAATTCACTCAAGTAACTCTTAAACAGATATTGGGTTTTGGCCCAATGATTTAGTAGTCACACATTCGGATATGATGAGGTATTGGCCAGGATTTGAGCTGATGGACTAGCAGTGAACGCCTTACTAATGCTATCTTTATAATAATAATAATAATAATAATAATAATAATAAATCTTAAACGTAAAAAATCAAAGACCACAAAATAGTTTTCAATATTTTAAAAAAACTCTAAAACTTAAAAAATCAAAGGTCAAAAATAGTTTTCAATACTTCAACGCTCTTTGTAAAAATAAAAAATAAAAAAATCTTAAATTTAAAAAATCAAAGGCCACAAAATAATTTCCAGTACTTCAACGCTATCTTTGTAAAAATAAAAATAAAAATAACTCTTAAACGTAAAAAATCAAAGACCACAAAATAGTTTTTAGTACTTTATCCACACCCAAAAAAAAAAGTATATTAATTTGTTTGTTGTAATTTATTGATGCTGCTTATGTCTTTTTTTTTTAAAAAAATTTGATTTCGACAATTTGTTTTGTTATATTTGATGTAATTTTTATTTATGGTGTAAATTTAACTTAAATAAATTCATAAAATTATTAAAAAAATAAAGAGAAATGCTTTTTAAGCTTTTAGTTTGGAAAGGAGTTGCACCAAAGATTTCGGATTATAAAAGAAATATGGGGCACTTGCGTGTAGGTCCTAATAAGTGGACTTATTGTCTAATAGGTTTTATGGGAAAAATTTGTCAAAAAAAAGTCACTAATTGTAAGTTTTAGCGATAATTTATAAAAATCATGACAAAAAAAGTCACTAATTGTCAATTTTTAGCGACATATATAAAAAAATTGTCACAAAAAAAATTATTTTTAACGACAATTTTACCAAGACTTATTTTCAATAGGACTTAATGGGAATTAAGTCTAACTATTAGTATCTACTGGTTGTTTACCCTAGAAAATAATGCATATCTTTATAATAATAATAAAAAAAAGGGTTACGTGTAAATTCTGATAGATAGATTTATTGTCTAATGAGTTCTATGATAATCAACGGCATCGTTATTAAATACAATTAAAAAAAGTCACTAATTGTTAATTTTCAGCAACAATTTAAAAATTGTTACAAAAAAAGTCACTAATTATAAGTTTTAGTGACAGTTTTAAAAACTTATCATAAAAAAGTCACTAATTTTCAACTTTCGACGACAATTTGAAAAATTCGTCATATAAAAACGTCATTCATTGGAAGTTTAGCGATAATTTATAATAATCGTGACAAAAAAAGTCACTAATTATCAATTTTTAGCAACATATGCAAAAAAGCGTCACAAAATATTATTTTTAGCGACTATTTTACTAGAGCTAACTTTTAATAGGACTCAATGAGAATCAAGTTCAACTATTAAGATCTATTGATAGTTTATCCTAAAAATAATTGTATTCCATCTGATCACATGAATCATTGTTTTATATATATGTTTGGGGTAATGCTATGTACACACCTTCGAAAGTAGAGCTGTGTAAAATATCTCATAATTTGCATTGATTTGCTCAATTTGTACCAATCCACTCGCTAACTGCAGGTTAATTTGAACCACGGTTTAGAATTTATAGCCCATCTTCGAAACTGTTCCGCTTCACTATAGTTAACACACACACACACACACACACACATATATATATTTACCTCTAATGAAATATCAAAGTAAAATACAGTACGAGAGCGATTTAATATGTAAAATTTATTGTAAACTAATGTTATATACATGAAAAATATTATGTAAAATTACTTGGTGTTATACATATATTATTATGCAAATTAGTGTCACGTATTATGAAAATGCTTGATAATTATTTAAGATTAAGTTATAAACACCTCTTAAAAGCTGTAACAAATTGCATCAATATATAGGATAAAGGGTTGTTGATGGGAGGAGGGCTCTTCTGTATCTAATTTGATTATCACAACTATTGTTATAGCTTTTAGAAGGTAATAGCTTATTTTTATTTGAGAGTGTAAGTCAGACTGTTTAGTTTAGTTTCTGCTTTAGGTTATTAGGTAAAAATTACTTAAATATGTTGAAAATTATTTGCAAGCTAAGAAAGGATAGCTTTTTTTGATTATCAATTTTTAACTTAAGAAAAAACTCTACCAAACAGGGTTATTATAAGGTTTGTCAATCATATTATTTATAAAAAAAAATTAAATTAATTGGACATACATAACTCCATAATCAAGTCTTAATTATTTTTAAATGTGATTTTGTTATTGAATTATATATATCTAATTAATTTAATTTTTTTCATAAATAATTTACTCAACAAACTTTACAATATAAACCATTTAAATTATTAAAATAAGTGTGAAACAAGTCTCCACTAGGCTCCACAACAATAACCTTCGGCCTGTTTATTTTCCGTTGTAGGAGTGTGAAGTGGACTCCTAGTGATGAATAGTATTTGTAAATCATGTTTGTTTGGTTTATGGAGTTTTTGGTAGTCCTTTTGGACTATGAAAAGCCTAAGTAGAGCAGATTACGAGTTTGGACAAATAGGTGGTATTAGAAAATAGTCCGTTTGGCTTAAGTTGTTAAATTTTTTTTTTGGGGGGTGTTTTATTATTTTATATAAAAATAATTTAACAATTCCGACACTAATAATCATCATCAAAATAAACACAATTTTACTTAATCCTCTTACTATCAATCCCATCACTATCAATCCTCTCCAATCTACATCTGAAAACAAACGGGGCCTTCATTCTCAATATATATCACTAAAGTTTTGTTGGACAATTTTTATTTATTAAATGATAGTGATGTAGACAAATCAGCTGAAAAAGTTGGTAGTTCTGGCTTCGTTTGGAAAGTGGGTTGGTTTTTTAGCTTTTTTGGCTACTTTAGCCTGGGCTTAAAAGCTTGGTTTGGGAAGGACTTTTTAACTTTTTGGCTTTTTTGACTTTTTTTGTGAGAGAATAGTGTAATGATTATGGGTTGGATGTGATGTTTTGTTTGTTGTGGCTAAAATAGCCTATTTAAAAAAAAAAAAAAAACAAAACAAAAAAAGAAGAAAAAAACTCTAAAACTTAAAAAATCAAAGGTCAAAAATAGTTTTCAATACTTCAACGCTCTTTGTAAAAATAAAAAATAAAAAAATCTTAAATTTAAAAAATCAAAGGCCACAAAATAATTTCCAGTACTTCAACGCTATCTTTGTAAAAATAAAAATAAAAATAACTCTTAAACGTAAAAAATCAAAGACCACAAAATAGTTTTTAGTACTTTATCCACACCCAAAAAAAAAAGTATATTAATTTGTTTGTTGTAATTTATTGATGCTGCTTATGTCTTTTTTTTTTAAAAAAATTTGATTTCGACAATTTGTTTTGTTATATTTGATGTAATTTTTATTTATGGTGTAAATTTAACTTAAATAAATTCATAAAATTATTAAAAAAATAAAGGGAAATGCTTTTTAAGCTTTTAGTTTGGAAAGGAGTTGCACCAAAGATTTCGGATT